CCGAAGGTTCTTTAGTCCGAATTTTCATTAGTCCGAAGCCCGGGTCATTAGTCCGGAGGTTCGTTCGTCAAAAGGTTCAATAGTCCCAAGGTTCGATAATCCGAAGGTTTGATAGTCCGAAGGGCCCATAAGCCTGAAAATAGAATAAGGTTTTATATTAATCCGAAGGTTCGAAAGTCCGAATAGACGATAGGGTGCGATAGTCCGAATAGATTATTAGGTTCGATAGTCCAAATAGTACGGTAGGGTTCGATAGTCCGAATTGATATTAAGGTTCGATAGTCCCCATTCACATACGGTTCGTCAGTATGACACTTCGGAATTAACCTTAATCTAAATTCGGACTACCGAACCTAAGCGCTAATGAACCTGAGCACTAATGAACCTAATTTAATGAACCTTGTGACTACTGCATCAAATGTTCGGACATCCCAGTCAGACGAAATTCTGGGGTGATAGCATTGTGTTCCTTTTATCCCTTTTCCTAAAGATCCTCTTCTGGGGTGATGTTTCTCTATTGTTGAAAATAGTGGGGTGATGTGTTCTGAAAGGAACATCACCCCACAAGTAGGGTATGGTTAGAATGGATTAACGAACCTTAATTCATTTTCGGACTAACGAACCACCTCTTATGAACATTTTTTGCATTCGTTCTATCGAACCTTCGGACTAAAGAACCGTCGGACTATCGGGCGCCCCCCCCCCCCTAACAAAACATGTTGGCATTGAACCGGCCGACTTCTGTACGCAAGCGGTTAAGGGTGACACGTTCCTTTCGAGGCAAGTCTTAGCCAGGTGGGGCTGTGGTTTTGGGGGATCACAGTTATTGATCAGTTCGGGCAGGGCGCCATTCTCAAAATATGACTCAGCAACGATTGTATTGAAATCGACATCCAGAATATTGTGTTTTCACAAAATATCAGACAGCAATCACAGAGCTTAATCTTCATCAAGTCAGATGTTGAGCACCTGTCCTTAGATTTGTAACACTTTTGTTGCTTCAAGCGAAAACAAAAATCACAATTTGTGAGAAAAAAAATTTGCGCAAATAATGTATGCAAATAAATTTTGTTACAGTGAGTAGAAACAAACATTTTTTTGTTAAGTTTACAAAAGCACTTTCATAATAGGTACCGTATCAGACACTAAATTCACTCTTGAAGTTTGTGTGAACCGCCGCTGTACTTTGCAAAAGTTCATGAGTAAAAAAAAGCCTCCTTTCAAAGTTAAAACTAGTCAAACCGATGATCACACGGCATGAAAAAAGATAAAACATAGTAGTGCAGCCAGGTGCACTCACAAGCATTATAATAATGGCAAGGACATCCTTTTATTATTATTAAGTTCTCATTTCCTGCCTAGCCTATTTCATTCGCAGAATTTGTCAAAAGGAAAGTAGTTACGCAAGGGCGAGACATAGAAGCCATTGTTATTGGACCCCACGTAAAATGTCTAAAAACCAATAGAACAAAAGACCAGATTTTCTCAACTGCGTCACTTTGCGACAAAAAGGTACAAAGAACTTAAAACCTCATTGCGCTTGTACTTTTGTCGATTAGGGCCAACTTCATGGCTCTGTGTGCAAGAAATCCCTGCTTACTGCAGCAGAAATTCTCCGTGCTTACGGTAAGAGTATTTCACAGGTCAGCGAGGAATTTGCGCATGTGTACATTCCATAACTAAGAAATCTGTGCTTAATACAGGGTTAGGCAAAAAAAAAATAAGTCTCCGGTTTCTGGTATGGAGCTTGTCCAAAAAGTGGTGCGGCGACGTGGCTTTTTTTTTTTTTTTTTACCTGACTTTTTTGCTTCAAATGTCGGCTGATGGTTGCAAATGGTGCCCGACTAAATGGGAGTCCAGAGAGGCCACATTAAGCTAATTCCCGATCATAACCCCATCTAAAAACACGTTAAAATTGTGCAGTAGCAGATTTCTAGTCAAACCAGTGAGTTTGGCGGCTTTGAGACATCATCTTTCATTGAAAAAAAACGTTTTCATTTTGCCGACGCGCATGGCTACGGCGACGCGCGCGCATACCAGAAACCGGAGACTTTTTTTTGGCCTAATCTAAATTCGGACTACCGAACCTAAGCGCTAATGAACCTGAGCACTAATGAACATAATTTAATGAACCTTGTGACTACTGCATCAAATGTTCGGACATCCCAGCCAGACGGAATTCTGGGGTGATAGCATTGTGTTCCTGTTATCCCTTTTCCTAAAGATCCTCTTCTGGAGTGATGTTTTTCTATTGTTGAAAATAGTGGGGTGATGTGTTCTGAAAGGAACATCACCCCACAAGTAGGGTATGGTTAGAATGGATTAACGAACCTTAATTCATTTTCGGACTAACGAACCACCTCTAATGAACATTTTGTGCATTCGTTCTATCGAACCTTCGGACTAAAGAACCGTCGGACTATCGGGCGCCCCCCCCCCCCCCCCAACGAAACATGTTGGCATTGAACCGGCCAACTCCTGTACGCAAGCGGTTCAGGGTGACACGTTCCTTTCGAGGCAAGTCTTAGCCAGGTGGGGCTGTGGTTTTGGGGGATCACAGTTATTGATCAGGTCGGGCAGGGCGCCATTCTCAAAATATGACTCAGCAACGATTGTATTGAAATCGACATCCAGAATATTGTGTTTTCACAAAATATACATACAGCAATCACAGAGCTTAATCTTCATCAAGTCAGATGTTGAGCACCTACCCTTAGATTTGTAACACTTTTGTTGCTTCAAGCGAAAACAAAAATCACAATTTGTGAAAAAAAAATTTTGCGCAAATAATGTATGCAAATAAATTTTGTTACAGTGAGTAGAAACAAACATTTTTTTGTTAAGTTTACAAAAGCACTTTCATAATAGGTACCGTATCAGACACTAAATGCACTCTTGAAGTTTGTGTGAACCGCCGCTGTACTTTGCAAAAGTTCATGAGTAAAAAAAAGCCTCCTTTCAAAGTTAAAACTAGTCAAACCGATGATCACACGGCATGAAAAAAGATAAAACATAGTAGTGCAGCCAGGTGCACTCACAAGCATTATAATAATGGCAAGGACATCCTTTTATTATTATTAAGTTCTCATTTCCTGCCTAGCCTATTTCATTCGCAGAATTTGTCAAAGGAAAGTAGTTACGCAAGGGCGAGACATAGAAGCCATTGTTATTGGACCCCACGTAAAATGTCTAAAAACCAATAGAACAAAAGACCATATTTTCTAAACTGCGTCACTTTGCGACAAAAAGGTACAAAGAACTTAAAACCTCATTGCGCTTGTACTTTTGTCGATTAGGGCCAACTTCATGGCTCTGTGTGCAAGAAATCCCTGCTTACTGCAGCAGAAATTCTCCGTGCTTACGGTAAGCGAGGAATCTATGCATGCGTACATTCCATAACTGAGAAATCTGTGCTTACAGGGTTAACGATGTTAGCACAAACAGTGATCGTAAGCGGGGATTTCTGTGGTAAGCAGAAACAGAAAGAGTTTCTTTAGTGTAGGTGATGATTCATAAAGGGCGAATTTAGGGCAAGAAGAGGCATGTTTTAGTATAAGTTGGTAACCCAGCTATTGTACCATATTTTGAAGTGCTTAATCCGAAAATGATGGTTACCAAGCTGGATTTTTAGTAGAAATATGCCTGATGTGCATAAATCTTTAATAGCTGTGGTGTAATATGTTTGCTCCCATATTTGGGTATGTTTTTATCATGTTATTTTTTTTAAGTTCAATTTGGTGATTGTACTTACACTTCTTTACTTCAAGTACATTTTCTAAAGCATATAAGTGACTAAGTAATTATGAAGACATAGTAACAATCCAAATTTGCTACTGTTATACCATAAGGTTGCGCGCGTTTAACTTGTCTCCAGATATCATCAAGTTGTCTTGCCAAACCTCGGTATTGATGAGCTTCAAATTCACCATGTTGCTAACTGGAATAGTTACCCTATTTAAACCTTTAAAAAAATCATGTGAACGATGATAACAACTTGATATTTAGCCCAGCAAATAAAAACGGGGACAAACGAGATGTCCGTAAATTGGGGTACTTGGTGGTATCGGGCAATCGAACCCTACTCAGTTGGGTTAAAAGAGAGTCAGTCTTATAGACCTGATGCCTTAAGACGGAGTTGGAGAACAGTGGTTTTGTTCCTCTGTGAAAGGCGTGGCTAAACATTTTTTGTGCATTCAATGAACACGCCCTGAGACGCCTGAAATGCATCAGCTCTATTGGCTACCACGCGTGGTATTGAGGATTTGCATCCATGTGACATTACCACGTGATACCGGTGCCAGATCCGCCCTTTTACACGTGTATGTAGCGTGCTCGATCGATCGAGCGCAACGTAAATGTTCTTCGATATTTGTCACCGTCAAAACTCCGATTGTTCTCCTAAAAGTCAGGGGTTAAACCCACAAAATTAACAGAATATAAAAGATTGGTGAAATAAGCTTTAATTTGATATATGTCTTAAACACCTTGCGAAATTGTGAGTATTTTGTCCCTGAACTTCGGAAGTGGGCGGTTATATCAGCGGGGTCTATGGCAGTTTATTTAGGCTGCAACGCTAGACGTCCAATATGGTGGGCGTGTGGGTGACCTGTGACGTCGCGTGAGGTTGTCAATACTGCATTCTTTCCGCTTGTCATTCAACTATAGCGAGCTCATCACTAATTGTTGAAGGAGTATAAGGCAATGCAATAACATGGTTTGTACTCTTTGAACGAGATCAGTGCGTACATGTAGGATACGTGACTGCACATGTTTCCCTTTCATTGGTAGATGGATCGAGGAGGGAGTCAGTGATTGATTCTGATTGGCCAATGGGCCGGGATGTCGGTGATGAGCAATTATTGGACATTACTATTGGGTTCACCTGTCTAGTCTGGGCACTCTAAACTGAGCAGCTGCTGGTTGAACTTCAAACTCTCAAAACAGGCGAGACGAGTTCATCTAATTCGACGGTAATATAATCTAAAGAAGTCAGTACAATCATGTCTCATCTCGTAGAGTTCAGTGATATCGACACTGATATATTCTGTACCAATCAGGCCTCCGGTGGCTCCGGTGGCTCCAAAAAAGAATTCGTGAAGCTGGACAAGGGCGCAGTCATGACCAAGATCCAGGCTTGGAAAGAAGGCTGGAGATTCCATGGCGTGAAGATGTGGATGAGCGACGGCACGGCACAGCTCTTTGGGTCTCAAGACGGGGATACCAGTTCATTCTCGCTCTCCAACGGGGAGATGTTGCGAGATCTTTATATTCAAGCCAGCGGCGAGAAGAGCAGTGGGGGCTATTACCGCTTGGGTGGCATCTCCTTCAGAACAACCAAAGGCCGAGAGTGGGGGTTCTTCGCCAAGAATCTCAAGGAGGACGGCAAGTACTTTTACGACATGCCTAATTCTGGGATCGTCTGCGGGATGTTCGGGAGATGCGGCTCCGATGTGGACTGCCTGGGCTTCGCTATCCTGAACCCCATCGAGAAGGCTCGCCTGGTGGACGTCACCTATCCCAATCTCGGCATGGTGCAGGTGGCCAACACTCCGATAGTTGTGGCCACCAGCGAGTACCGCAATGGAACCTCTGTAGAGCAGTCTTACACGATGTCGGAATCGAGGACCGTGACTACCGAGTGTACCTGGAGCGTGACGACCGGCCTCGAGATGACCCTGACGGTGAATGTATCGGCCGGTGTTCCCATGGTTGCGGAGGTTGATACGGGCGCGTCGTGGACCGTGAATGGCGAATCACAGCACAGCCGATCAGAGATCATCACTAAGGAACAGAGTTGGTCCTGGCCCGTCGTGTGCCCGCCGCACACAGAGATTCGCGCCACCGGCTCTATGTTCCAGGATAACATCGACACCGAGTACGAGGGCAAAGTCCACATCGACTTGAAGAATGGCCACGACTACGAGTACAACGTGAAAGGCATCTATGAGGGCTTGAACGTCCGTCAGAACGATCTGGAGGTTGTGGAACTGGGACCTGCCTAAATGGATCCTGAACTTGATCCAAGACTCGGTTTGAATTTGTAAGCACCTATTTTGCAGCCAGTCGCATGACAACTTTGAAGGGTATCCGCGGTGGAGGTCTTAATTAACAAGATGAACCAAAGCCAGTCTTGGCAATATTTGCAGCGCTACCCTGGAAAATTCCGAGCATACCTCACGCGCATGGGTACGCTGGAATGTCCTGGGTAGCGCTGCCAATATCGCTAATACAGGATTTGACTCATCTTATTCTAATTTTGAAAGAAACCTCGCTTGCCACTGACCGGCTTTGAATTAAGGAAATACAATCCAAATGCATTCTTGGAGCAAGACTATTGAAGCACTCAAAATGATCCTGAAAATTAAAAGCTTAAAAATACAATTTTCCGATTTTCGAAGTCGGTAAAAAAAAAACATCATCAGAACCGATACTCACTGATATACAGAATTATGTTTTAACATGTAGGCATCGTCATTACAATTGGCATTTATGTTGCCGAATAAGGGCGCTATATAAGGTCGCCAAGTTGAAGATACACTCAGACGTGAAACCCAGTTTTTGAATACATTTTGCTATAATTCACAACATAACAGTTTAATTAAAATGAAAAATATGCCATATCTTTTCAGATTGAAGTCAAGTATCCAAATTTAATAATCGGGCTATTTCATTTGTTCGATACCCACAAAACAGCGTAACTACAGATATGACGATTCAATTACTTTTTCAATTTTTTAGCAAAGTAGTCACTTTACTCTTTAGAAAATGTAACTCGATTAACAATTGAAAAAAAAATGGTATTATATATTACTCTTTAAATTTATTAGTTTAGCTTGTGTGTACTGTTTTTGGTATGTTTAATAAGAGGGTGATCATCAAATTAGGCTAGATGTGTTACGTAATTTAATTTTTTTTATTTTGATTTTAAGCGAATATTACACTTTTATATACAACTTCGAGTTTATATTAAATATCAATCAATTGGCATCAGTAGAGGGATAATCGAGAAATGCTTTAATATCCGTGACAAACTGGTACTTATTCTATTTCTTTTGAAAGACTTACAGTATAAAGAAACGCAATAGAGGGCGCTAAATACGTGTATCATGAAGCAAGCTTAAAGGTTATTAACGAGTCGGGCGTATTTTTTTTAGAAAGCTAGGTAAAATCTTAATTTTTGGAACTTGCGAAGAGGAATGAAAGCAATGACATAAAGTTAGTTACAAATTAATACCAGTCTGCTCCGATGAATAATTCAACTTATGTGATTAAACATTTCCTAATTCTAAGCCACATTTAAACAAAAAAAATGAAAGTGAGGCTAGAATGCGTAAATAGCCAGGACCATCAATTCAACAGTGCTGTTCACAATTAATACAATACATTCAGGGAACATGACCAAAATGGCTTCCTCGTGAATTAGATCCAAATTGATACTCGAGAAATGCTTTGAAAATGTTAACAAACTATTCTACTATATTTTAACTGCCTTTTAGAATAAGCAAATTTAATAGAGGGCGCTGAATACTTTTATAATGTAGCTTAACATAGTAACACGATAATAGTCTTGATAAAAAAATGAATAGATAATAATACGTAGTTATGGAAATTATTATGCAAAAACATGCTTTCTCGCTCTGAATAGTAGAAGTAACATAGGCTTGTTTATTTAAATGTGAGTGTTTCGTGTCGAACAGTTTATGAATATTTTGGTAGTATATTAACACTGCTTGCTAATCTCTCAATCTAAATTTCCTTCTGCTTATTTAATTAGTGTTACAATAATGTTCACTTTTCTATAAAAAAAATGGTTAGATAAAATATGCATAACTTGTAGCATAGTTTTTGGGCTTAACGTGTTTATAAATTGTTTTGTTTGTAGATGGTGGATTTGTTTAAGTGTCATTGTTGCAATTGTATCAGAATGCGTGACATTCATTTTAAGGTCATGCCTTTATTTTTGATGAGTTAGTTTCATTGTCTACTATGTCATGATTGGGGCGCGCGGCTGTTGGCGCCACATGAATGGGAAAATTTACAGCAATTTAGGAACATGATAATGTGACACCCGTGGCACGAGCTTTGCGGTAGTTATTCTGCGAAATTCTAAAAGTCAAATAACTCCCTGATTTGTACATGAAGTTTCGTAGAAGTGTTGCTATAAACTGGACCAATCCATTCAACTCCCCCAAATGATATTTCAACCAACCATTCCAAAATTTAATGCGTAGCAAGGTCATTTAGAATTTTGTTTTTGCTCTGTTTTTTTTTTTTTTTTTTGAAGGGGGGACATATGTTTTTGAAAAGGGCACATGCACATCCATGCTATAATGTAGACGCGTATTGTTGTTTTTCTCCGGACACTTGGTCTCCGTAAAATCGAAAAGCAGGGGGGGGGGGGGGCTGGTACCATCTATCAATGGGGAAGCTGTTCAAAACCGACGGTAACGCACACTGAATGAGGGGCACAAAAAGGGACTTTTTAAGGGGCACTCTTTCAGAAACAAAAAGAAGTTATTTTGGTTTCAAATGAAGGGCACTATTTAATAATTCATTTGGATGGAAAAGGGCAGTGTTTACAAAATATTGGGGGAAATGCCCCTTCTCCCTTCACCCCACCCCACCCCCCCCCCTTGCTGGCTAAAGCTTATGCCTTAGAGTATGACCTTAAGTTATTAAATGACCATAGTAGCAAATCTGTACGGTATGTACAATATCAATATTTAAAAAAAAAGCTAGGAAATTGGCGCATGCATATCTTGTGAAGGAAGTACGGATAGCATTATGGGTAACTTATCATGACCCATTCGCATGCACGCTAAGATTAGTCAACAGCTGTAGCGCGATTGTGTGCGGCTGCTATACGTCCTAAGCACAGGCCACGCAAATTTTATCCAATCAAATTCCAAAGATAATCAGCCGTTCCCAACGTTGCAGGGCGGGTACGCGCGAAAACTGCAGATTGAACACGCAGGAAGATTATCTGACGCTTGGGGCGCTGTTCAATGCAGAGGCTAAACTGAGCTTCGCTCGTACCCCTGCCCTGCAAACAGGGAGCTGGGAAGGGCAGATAAGCTTCACAGAATCTTGTGGAGGAAGTGGGGATGGCATTCTGGATAATTTATTATGACCTGTGTATAAAGCATCTGGCTGCAGCTGTTTGCCAAGACCACGGTTAGCCAATGCGCACACATGCTATCCAAAACCTGTCTCATGGAAATGCATGACCACCGTACCGGATGTGATTTCTTTATCATTGCGGACCATGTGGACACATTGTGGACCATGTGGCGAATAATACTTTTACCCACACTGTCATCAGAGTCTCTAGTCTAAAGTGATTTTGGCATTGAATACAATATACTGTCAACGGGTCACTGCTGGGCAGTAACTTAAAAACTGATCCCCCTGGATCGGGTATGACTTTTGCAGATTGGAAAACAATTGGTATTTCTGACGCATGGGGGCGTTGCTCAATGAGGATGATTCGCTCACAACCCGCCAGCGCTGCAAACAGGAAGCTGGGAAGGGCTGATGAATTCACGCTCTAATTGGACAAATTTGCATGACCTGTGACCTGCACTTGATCACGTGCCACGACCCTGCAAGGTTTTAAACGGCCGTTAAGACTGAGTCACTCTTTCCAAATAATAAATGCTTATTTTTAATAAGCGTAATAATGTAGGGAAATCTGTCAAATGATATATCTGTTTTTTAAATCTTCCATTTCCGTCACTTGCTCAGACTCCGTTTCGAATTCACGAAGGATCAAATTGCATATTTAGTGTGCGACTTGAAAAGTGTCCACTTGGTCCGTAACGAAAAAGAATTCACATCCGGTATGGAATGTATGCATTTCTACGGAAAATGTTCGGATAGTGCTTGTGCACATTAGATAACCGTGGTCCTAAACAGTTGCAGCTAGATGTCTTTATATAGTCATGATCAGTTACCCAGAATGCCATCCCCACTTCTTTCACAAGATTGTGTGAAGCTCATCAGCCCTTCCCAGCTCCCTGTTTGAAGGGCAGGGGTACGAGCGAAAGCGGAGAACAGGAACAAAACAAAATCGTGTTCGAAAACAGCGCCCTCATTTTTCGAGTTACAGAGAAACATTTAAGTGCAATGTGAAATTCTACAGTAGACAAATGGGATGTCACATTTCCCTTGAAAACGACTTCTTGTTTTGCAGTTATTCATGCTCTCATTTTCTGCCGCTCTTTTGACGATTGGGAAAAAAAAACGCAATTCGGTTTCATTTACCCCCTTTCCACGGGAATTATAGTCAAATGTTTCATTGGGGTTCCTTGGATCCATAATGCTATGGGAGTTTCAAAACAGGTATTTGTTTTCCCTAGAACAAAACAAAACAAAACTTTCAAAAATAATTATCAAAAGGAACGTTACAAAATTGACTTATGATCTTTCCGTGCATATAGTCATTAGCAGTATCGACTAAAGTACTACAATGACTACAGGTAAAACGGTTCATTTTAATCTTGTATAGTGTATTTTCCTGGGGAAAAACACGTTGCATTGTGTATAGCGCCCTCTCTGGAAATCCCACCTATAATCCCTTGTCACTTGGCTTTAAAGGGACACCACAAATCGCGAATATTGTACGTCATTATTCACGACAACCAGATAATTCGCTTCTCGTTCACCGGTCGCAAGTATTTTGAGGTAACTTTTCACGTCAAGAATTCACGTTCGCTCTCTTCGCTGGCAAATTTTGACGTCATTATTCACGTCAAAATGTTACGTCTCGCAATCAGGTTGCAAATACTGACGTGATTATTCACCTCAAAAATAATTGTCGCGATCGCTCCCCGGTCGCAGGTATTATTGCCGTCAATATTCGCATCATAATTTCTTGAAGTTGTAATGATCTGGTATTCACTGTGGAAAACCCTGGCAGTTAAATAGGCCCGCCGCAAACACTTCACTCGTAGAGGATTAGATTTGCTTTATATGTTAATTCAGTGTTTGGCGCTAGTGGAGAAAAAAATGAGTATCGCTTTAAAGTATCAAACACTCGATTTAGCCTTGATTTTGGTTTGAACCTCTGCAGTATTTTGCAAAAGTTCATGAATAAAGAAAACATGCTCCTTTCACTTCAATTTGAAACCAGGCCAACTAGTGATTGATCGCACGGCATGAATGGAGACAATGCACAACAGCGCCGGCAGAGCCAGACTTGTTCACAAACAACCCAATGGTATACAAATATTGAGTGGCTCAGCGTGGAATGGGAGGAGTATTATCGCAAGGTAAAATCTGGACTTTTCCATTTCACGAGGCGAAGCCGAGTGAACTCAAAAAGTCCAGATTTTACCCAGCGATAATATTCCTCCCATTTCACAATTTAAAGCCACTCAATATTAAGTTGTTTTATATAACTGACATATAGATCCTTGTCATTTGATACATTTGAACTCTTTTTCAATACGAAACTGGAAAAAAATCTATTTCTCTAGTCCAAACCACCCCTTCACGAAAATGTTTGAACCCAACGCTGTAGCGCTGGCTCTTTGGAACAATACGCGCTACGCGCAAAGCTGAACGCGGACACCAGCATGCATTTGCACACAAATACCGCGTCATGATCCTAACTGTTGAATAGTATTTCCCATTCCCCATGGGCGGATAGTACTTTTTGAGCCGCGGCGTGAATGGGAGCAATAACAAATGTCATGTGATGTGAGTTCCACCAATCAAATGGCTAGGATCTGTATGTCAGTTATATAATAAAGATTATATAACTGACATACAGATCCTAGTCATTCATACATGACATTCGTTATTGCTCCCATTCACGCCGCGGCTCAAAAAGTACTATCCGCCCATGGGGAATGGGAAATATTATAACACCTCACCCACAGATTCTGTGTCTTGATTGGCCGAGAGCGAGTCACATGTTACTTTCTAATTTTGCTATCTTTCTGTGCATGGCCAAAAGTACTATGCGCATAGCAACCAAAGTACTATACCATTAGCAACCAAAGTACTATTTCCACGGCGCGGTATTCGTGTGCAAATGCATGCTGGTGTGCGCGTTGCGCGTTGTGCGTAGCGTGTATTATTCCAAAGAGATTGCGCCGCAGACTTGGGTTCAAACATTTTGTGAAGGGGTAGTTTTTAAGAGAGAGAAATACATTTTCCACCAATTTTGTGTTGAAATTAAAGTTTATTTCAGCTGTGTTTAGATTTAAATAATTTAAAATATTAAAATCAAGCAGAATCTTTGGGTGAAGTGTTATAAAACAAATATTGAATGCCTTATCTCGTGGTAAAGTAAAACTAGCCTCCCTCGGTGATCCATGGATCATTCTATTTTCCCTCGGCTTCGCCTCGGGAAAATAGAATGTCCATGGATCACCTCGGGAGGCTAGTTTTACTACACCACTCGAAGCATTCAATATTTGTATACTATTCAACAGTTAGGATCATGACGCGGTATTTGTGTGTAAATGCATGCTGGTGTGCGCGTTCAGCGTTGCGCGTAGCGCGTATTGTTCCAAAGAGCCAGCGCTACAGCGTTATGTTCAAACATTTTCGTGATGGGTTGGTTTGGAAGAGAGAAATATATTTTCCTTCAGTTTTGTATTGAAAAAAAAAGGTTCAAATATATCAAATGATAAAGATCTATATGTCAGTTATATAAAACAAATATTGAGTGGCTTTAAATTGTGAAATGGGAGGAATATTATCGCTCGGTAAAATCTGGACTTTTCCAGTTCACTCGGCTTCGCCTCGTGAAAAGGAAAAGTCCAGATTTTACCTCGCGATAATATTCCTCCCACTCCACGCTGAGCCACTCAATATTTGTATATCAGTGCACAATCGGTCCTCTACCCTCACAGGTACCAATTCATACATCTGGGTGGAGAGAGGCAGTCGTAGTAAAGTGTCTTGCCGAGGGGCACAAACACCATGTTCCTGGCAGGGTTCGAACCCACGCATTTGGACGTGTATATTTCCCTGCAATGGCGCCCCCTATGTTGTCCCTCTTTTGTTTGTACTTAAACTTGTTAGTTAGACCTCGCAAATGTTTTGTTCACTGTTGCCAAATTAGGGACCTTTGAGAATCGGGACCCGTATTATACAAATATTGAGTGGCTCAGCGTGGAAAGGGAGGAATATTATCGGAAGGTAAAATCTGGACTTTTCCATTTCACGAGGCGAAGCCGAGTGAAATGGAAAAGTCCAGATTTTACCGAGCGATAATATTCCTCCCATTTCACAATTTAAAGCCACTCAATATTTGTTTTATATAACTGACATATAGATCCTTGTCATTTGATATATTTGAACTTTTATTTCAATACAAACCTGGAGGAAAATGTATTTGTCTCTTCCAAACCACCCCTTCACGAAAATGTTTTAACCCAAAGCTGTAGCGCTGGCTCTTTGGAGCAATACGCGCTACGCGCAACGTTGAACGCGCACACCAGCATGCATTTGCACACAAATACCGCGTCATGATCCTAACTGTTGAATAGTATTTCCCATTCCCCATGGGCGGATAGTACTTTTTGAGCCGTGGCATGAATGAGAGCAATAACGAATGCCACGTGATGTGAGTTCCACCAATCAAATGATTAGGATATGTATGTCAGTTATATAATGTCCTCTATTGTTCAAAGTCCCCTACTGAATGCAAAAAACAAACTCACCATTGTATATCAGTCAAACGCAGTACACCGTAACCACTGGATAAGGGCATTATACAATTTGTTTGTCAAACCGTCCCAATGGGAGTACTGCGATACCGTCTAATGAAAGATAGCACAGGAAAAGAAATGATTCTCTCTGTGGCTCTATTAAAATGAGGAACCGGACAATGTTCTTGAGTAGATATCGGCAGAATTTAGTCTGTATTGGCGAAGACAGAAAATGACAAGACAATGTTAGCTGGTCTTCGACAATGAGTGAATGACGCAGCAAGGAGTGCCCGAAACCCGACGTTGAGGGCGCTCAGCTAATTTGAATATAAATAGCCTAAAGAGTCAAACCCAATAGGGACAAACCAAAAAAAAATAGAGGGGGGTGTATTTTTACACTCGTCACATCTCCTATTGTTTTTGTTTTTTTGTTTTTTTTAAGAAATGATGTTCAGATTGAATGTACGTTTACACCGCCCTAGGAAGAGGAAATTTTACTCAGTCACTTTAGGCCAAACAAAAAGTCTCCGGTTTCTGGTATGTGCGCGCGTCGCCGTAGCCATGCGCGTTGGCAAAATGATTTTTTTTTTTTAACGAAAGATGATGTCTCAAAACCGCCAAACTCACTGGTTTGACTGGAATCCTGCTGCTGCACAATTTTAACGTGTTTGTTTTTTAGATGGGGTTACGATCGAGGATAAGCTTTGTGTGGCCTCTCTGGACTCCCATTCTTTTGCACTAAGTTTCGTCCGGCACCATTTGCAGTCATCAGCCGACATTTGAAAAAAAAAACGGTACGAAAAAACAGCCACGTCGCCGCACCACTTTTGGGGCAAGCTGCATACCAGAAATCTGTGAGTTTTTTTGGCCTTAATTCAACTAGGTTCTTTTGCTTGTTATGCACACGGGGATCTCAACGAATAAAAACGCTGTCAGCGTGATTGATGATCGGGTGTATGCCTGTCATGTCATGGAAAAAAACGATTACAAAGAGTAAAGTTGTTGCAATGCAATGCAGAAAGTCAGCGGTAGAATCCAAAAGAAATATATAAAGCTATAAACCACACAAAGGATATTTAACCTAGATCCGAGACTGGGCCAGGCAGCCCAGACTCGGTCACAGGGTATGGAAAAAACGCTGTGACAGAAATCCCCTCTAGCAACATGTCTGGGATGGGGACTTAAACAATGGAAAAGTGATGAACCTATTAAGATATTATATTTACATTTTTGATGCTGTTGCTGTATCGGAGCAAATATGTGTTTTTCATGTCAGACCACATACCTACCTAATTTGCATGTGTAAGAGTTAGGAACGTGCAATTAAACGATTCACTACCAGGTTGAGCGATGCTGGGAGCGTACTTGTAGACACCACGGGAAAGAGGGTGAAAACGCTATGAAACTGTACCATCAGAAAACAAGTGAAATATTGTTGTGTAGGTCATCATATGGGTGCCAAAGTTCCAGCTTGTTGAAACTGTGTTGTTGAACCTGGTGTTCTGTTGTGGTATCCTTGTCGACTTCACTCCCACATACAAAGAGTTAAGATTATTCATCTTTTTGCAATAAACAAGGTTGCCAAATAAATATGATTTATGTCGTTCGGTGTATTTTTCATATTATAGTTCAAAACCAGGCCAACAGCTGATCAATCGCACGGCATGAATTGAGTCACAATGGCGCAGAACCAGACGTATTCACAAAATCACTGGCCAGGTCTATGACAGTTTTGCCCAGGGGTGTGCTGCGACGTCGCGTGCGATTCCTCAATAAACCGATGCTTTTCGCTAAACATGCAACCATATGTACGATTTAATTGTTCATTGTAGAAGGGGTAAAGGCAACCAAATCAAACGGTAGGCACTCTTTGCACAAGGCCAGCAATAAGGACACGTGACTGCTAACAGTTTCCTTTAATTGGTCGATAGATCAAGTGGGGAATCGGTGATAACCGCTGATTGGTCAGTGCGGAATCGGGTGATGTTCCATGTTTGGGCAATAAAACTAGGGTGGTCTGTCTAGTCTAGGCACTCTGATCTGAGCATCAGCTGACTGAACTTCAAACTCCCAAAACTCGTCAGATCGCCATCTGATCAGACAACAATTTCCCTGACAGAATCCAAAGTCGTCAGTACAACCATGCCTTCTCTCGTACCATTCAGCGATATCAACACCAAGATCTTCTGCACCAATCAGGCCTCGGGTGGCTCCGGTGGCAAAGCGAAGACCTTCATCAAGATGGACACTGGCGCGGTCATGACCAAGATCCAGGCTTGGAAGGAAGACTGGCGGATCCGAGGCGTGGAGATGACGATGAGCGACGGCACGCAACAGCTCTTCGGTTCCCGGACTGGGTCCGGGTCCTTGTTCACACTTAACTCCGGGGAGACGCTGAGGAGGCTTAACATCCAGGCGAGCGGCCAGAAGAGCTCTGGGGGCTACGTCCGACTCGGTGCCATCTGGATGGAGACCAGCCAAGGCCGAAGCTGGGGGATCTTCTCTCGATACCTGACCGAGGATGGCAGGTACTGGTACGACATGCCTAATTCCGGGATCGTCTGTGGGATGTTCGGGAAGTACGGCGACGATGTGGACTGCCTGGGCTTCGCTGTGATGAACCCCATCGAGAGGGCTCGCCTGGTGAACGTCACCTATCCTAATCTGGACCTGAAGGTGGTGGCCGACACTCCGACAATCGTGGCATCCAACGAGTACAGCAACGGCACGTCTGTGAACCAGTCCTACACACTCACCGGAGAAAAGACCGTGACGACCGAGCGATCATGGAGCGTGACCACCGGCTTCGAGATGTCCTATTCTGTTTCTGTGTCAGCCAGCATCCCTCAGGTGGCCGATATCGAGGCTAGCACGTCATGGACTCTTAGTTCGGAAACAACGCACAGCCGATCGGAGACCATCAGTGAGGAGCAAGGCTGGGAATGGCCAATCGTCTGCCCACCGTACATGCGTATCCGTGCTTCGGGCACCATGTACCAGGACAGCATCGACAACGCCTACGAAGCCAAGGTCCACATCGACTTAAAGAACGGCCAAGACTACGAGTACGCGGTGAAAGGCATCTATGAGGGCATGAACGTTAGACATGGCCTCCTGAAAGTTGAGGAACTTGGGCCTCCCTAAACTGATGCTTAGTGGACCTTGATCCAAGTCTGGGTTTGAATTTTTTTCACTCTTACACCTACAACTTAAGACCAAATTAAATTTAGTCTTCTATGACGACAACTGTTTGTTGAATTTTACAGAATTTCTAACCCAAACTATTGATAAAGCACAACCTAATTTTGCGTAGTTGCAATTCTCACCCTTTCTTGGGTAAAATTAACCAAGGCAATTTTTCAGTGTACGCGCGAAAATGACGTTTCCACAGTCTCCTTTCAAAATATGACGATTTAAGATGTAAATTCGATTTTTAGCACAAGTGAATACTGTAGTCTTTAGGAACATTAAAGTACAGCCAACTTTGTTTAATATGTGGGGAAATGGTGTATATGCTGCTTTTTGTAAAAGTTAAGCTTAACTATTTAGTGTGATATGATTACGTAATTGTATTTTGTTTTTGTTTTTCAACGTTTTGATATTTAGTGGCCTTTTATATACTGCACACTCCATACACGAGGAATGCTTAAAAATACACAACAATTGCTTTTGCTGTAATTTTCAGAAATGGGTGGTTTTTGGGAATTAGTGTTTCATAGCTAATATTGTTAAGGTTTTGTACTCGTAGATGCTGGAAAATCCAAGAAATATAATCCTGTTTTTGTAGTCTGGTTCCCCGATCACTCTTAAATTGAAATGGACCAGCGTTGGAAAATTGATACAAAAAATACCATGTCTTGAAAATGTCAGCCCACCTGATGCTATGATTTTACAGGATACTTCCAGTCCAGTATTTAGTAATAATTTGCTGTATTTCTTATGTTTGAAAATGTTGTATATTCTCTTTAAACCTTTTGCATATTAAACTGGTACACAACTATTGTATTCGATGTTTTAGAGAACGTCTTGTAGATCATGTGACATGTGTTTACAAAAGTGGATGTTGTGGTCATGTGATGCCAACAGTCAGTCACGTGATACCAACGTTATCTTTAGCACTGCATGTATATTAGTTTTAATGTGATGGGTTTAAAAGTGTACGCATATATTGTTTAATGAGGGCCAAGTAACATGTAGAGAAGCTGCTTAAATGTGTGGGTTGTTAGTGGCGGGTTTTCTATCTGCAGCACACATCGTCCATGGATCATGATTATTCAGCTAGTTCGATGTTTATTCATAAGAAAATAACAATGATGTCACACCATTGCTATCACTCAGTCATGCATATACATTACAGCATTTCAAAGGACGGCCTTCGTACAGCTGCCACAGTGGCCTAGTAGATAGTGGAATGAACTATTAAAGATCTGTGGTTCGAATCCATGTCAATTTTCATCAAATAGTTTTGTTGATTGGGATAAGTGTGAAGGGAAAACACTACGAGAACACAGCGTGATACATATCATAGGCACTATCTAATTTCATTTTGAGAGATATAGCAATGTACGAACATGATAACGGGACACCCTTATATGGTATAGGAGGCTATGCGGCGTTATTCCTCAAAATTAGAACAATAAAGTAACTACTTGTTTATATATGAATTAGCGACATCATGGAATTGTTGCCTGAAAGTGAGGGATCCATTCAGCTCCGCCAATAACCATTTGACATTAGTCTGATCATTGAATGACCTTTGACCCAAATCTGTGATCATTAGGATTAGGCTCGTACAATACCCCAAAAAGGGCTAGGAAATTGGCTGTAGAATGCAGGAGAAAATCAGTATGACCCTTGACCCTTGCTGAACCCTGACCCAATGATTAAGCATAACATGAATGATCCCGGAGGGTAGTGATGATGACTGCAACAAAAAGAACAATCGTCCCCGGGGCATATTTTATTTCCAACCTCGTTTCTAATGACAGTGGGTAGTGTGGGAACGTACTGCTCGACACCATGGGAACGAGGTTGACCGCAATCGGCCAACCGTTGTTGGAGAGGCATTTTTATACCCACACTATATCATCAGAGTCTCTAGTCTAATTTGATTTTTGTTACTGAATATATTAACTGACGACATAACACTCCTGGCTGTAACTTGAATATTATTCCCCCTGGACCATGTATGACTTCCGAAGAGTGGAAAAGCGGGCCGGCATTGGTATTTTCTGACACATGGCGGCTCTATTCAATGCAAAGAACTGGGCCAAAGATGAAAATCCAAAAAACAAATCTTTTCGAAAATATTGCCCTCTTTTTGCCAATTATAGAGAAACATCAAAACGAATTTCGTCAGTGTCGGCAAAAATGGGATGTCACATTACCTTTCAAAACGACTTTGTATGTGCTGCTGCTCTATTTGACGACTGAAGAAGAAAAAAAAATGACTCGGTTTCATTTGCCCCTTTCCACGAGAATAATAGTCTTTTTGTTTTTTGGGGGGTTCCTTGGTTCCATGAGGCTATGGGAGTTTCAAGACAGGGACTTTTTCCCCGTCGAAACCGCAAACAAAAGTTCCAAAATTAATTATCAAAACTAACGTTACTAAATTGACTTATGATCTGTCGTACACATAGTCATTTACACTATTGCCTAAAGTACTCCAAGGACTAAAGGCAAAACAGTTCGATTTAATCTTATCCTAGAAGAATGCAATGACTTCATTGTGTATAGCGCCCTCTCTGGTAATCCCGAACATAGGCCCTAGTTAGTTGGGGGACCTTATAACCCTAGCCCCGTCCGCCTTAAACATCGCCCTGCTGGTTAGATGGCACGCAATACAATTATAGATTTTAACAAATATTAAAATGTCATTTTAGCCTCTGAAGAAGAACTTGCTAAGTTCGCAACGTCAGGCCACATTAATTTTTAGATTTATATATTTCAGGTCCACCCAGTCAGTAAGCAGTTTGCAGCAGTCTTACTTTTTTCCCAAATATTAAAATGAGTAAAATAATACTGTGGGCAAAATGAATAAATAAAAACGTGTTCGATGATCCAAAATTGCTTCCTAAGGCCAAAAAAAAAGTCTCCGGTTTCTGGTATGCGCGCGCGTCGCCGTAGCCATGCACGTCGGCAAAATGAAAAAGCTTTTTTTCGAATAAAAGATGATGTCTCAAAACCGCCAAACTCACTGGTTTGACTGGAATCCTGCTGCTGCACAATTTTAACGTGTTTTTAGATTGGGTTATGGTCGAGAATAAGCTTTATGTGGCCTCTCTGGACTCCCATATATTTGCACTAAGTTTAGTCGGGCACCATTTGCAGTCATCAGCACGCATTTGAAGCCAAAAAATAAGTTAAAAAAAAAAAAAAAAGCCGCGTCTACGCACCACTTTTTGGGCAAGCTCCATACCAGAAACCGGAGACTTTTTTTTTTTTTGGCCTAAACTATTGTAGTTCTGTGCCTTTTAAAAACATATCAATGCGTTGTGGGCTTTTGATGGACCCTGGCCTTGTCATGCTTCACGAAGTACGTCGAGGGCCCACCGAGGCCCGAGGCCTGATTGGTGCAGAAGATCTTGGTGTCGATTTCGATGAAAGTTACGAGACGAGGCATGATTTTATTGACGACTTTTTATTGTATCAGTGGAATTGTGGTCTGCTTACACGAACACGTCTTGCGCGTTTTGGGAGTTTCAGTCATCAGTTGCTCAGCTAAGAGTGCCCAAACTAGATAGACTACCCCGGGTTTATTGGCTAAGAATATTGCACATCACCTGACTCCGACCGACCAATCAGCGGTTATCACCGATTCCCTACTTGATCCATCGACCAATAAAGCTGTTTGCAGTCACGTGTCCTTGACGCTGGTCTTGTTTAAAGAATTCAAACAACAATTATTGCACACTTATGGTTGCATGTTTAGCGACAAGCATCAGCTAGTATTGGGGAATCTCACACGACGTCGAAGCTCACCCTGGGCGAAACTGCCATTGACCCGGCCGTGTTTTTGTGTGAATACGCTTGGCTCTGCCCTGTGGAGCACTTCATGCCGTGTGAGGATAAGTCGTTAGCCCGGCCTGGTTTTGATTTGTTTTTAATACAAACCGAAAAGCATAAATCATATTGGCGGCCTTAATTGTTTATTGCCCCAAAATAATCTTAACCCTTGCTTTACTGTTTGGGACTAACGCAGACAAAAAAACCCAGACACAGAACAACCTCAACAACACAGTTTCGACAGGCTGGAACGTTGCCACCCTAGGGCCTACACAACAATATTTGACCTGCTTTCTGATGCCCCAGTTTCATGGCGTTCCAACCTTGTCCCCGTGTTGTGGACATCAAGTACGCTCCCATACCTGCTCCCTTAACCATGAATCGTTGGCCTGATCATGAAAACTTGAAAGCCTTAATCAACTACACCGATTACAGCAACTACAAAACATCAGTGCCAGACTAATCTCTCTCGATCACTAGTATATTCTCATATCAACATTCTCATAACACTCCTGTATAATTAGCAGATCCGAGTCTCCACTGGCTTATCATGAAGCCTTTCGCCAAGGCCATGGTGACTTAACTTGCCGGCATTAGACAAAGCGGCGAAAATGCAAGGCAACTGGAGCAGGAGACCACACACGCGAGTGGCGAAGCCACGAGGGCCTTTTCCAACTTGTCAAGAATTTCTTATGTTTTTCTTTATTATCTCGATTTTTGCTACCCCAAAAGGGAGGCAAATTCCAACCAATCATCAGCCTTAGTTCGCGCGTGGCTACTACCCGGGTTATTTATACACTATTCTGTAATAATTATAGTGTTAATGACGGTCGGATTTGTACATCCCCCAAACTGATTTTACGGAGGCCAAATGTCCGTTTGATTCGCTGATGAAACCCCCCCCCCCCTCCAAAAAACCTGTATCCTCCCCTCCTGTGCTGCAATGGCACAGTCTCAGATGTAGGTTAAATATCCTTTGTGTGGTAAGTCCCAGATATTTCTTTTGGATTCGAACACTGACTTTTTGCCCTTATATCAACAACTTCACTCTTTGTAATATTTTTGTCCATGACATGACAGGAATTCACCAGATCATCGATCACGTTGACAGGGTTTTTATTTGTTGAAATCCCCGTGTGCTAGGCAAGCAAGATAACCTAATGGAATAAAGTAATACACTTAGCCAGACGTATTCACTCTTTGTGAATACGTCTGGCTTGTGTGCCTGGCTTCCTGACGTGTGGTGATCTGTTGGCCCAGGTGTTGTTTTCATGAATTTGTGCAAAGTACAGGGGAGGATCAAACAAGCATCACCGGTGAAAACATGGTTTTAGTCGCCAAACGTACAAACATATAAACCGGGGTCGCCCGGCATTCCAATCTCTATATATTTTCCTACGAAATTCCAAAATTTCACTCGAATAGAGCATTCAATGTCGTCGGACCAGCTTTCTAAAAACGCTTTTACGAGAGACCAGAGCACCCCTTTTCAGTGTAATCACACGCAGTTTTACCCTCACGCATCAGATGGGGCGACTTTGCGAAGCAGTAACTCGGCAATGCATTACGCAATGACAGCGGGTTTTCCGGCATTCTCTGCATTAGTTACCTCCCCATATCATATGTTAAACTCGTTTTGATTGGCTAAGAAATGTCGACGGAATGAAAGAAAACTTGAAGCCCATCGTTCTGCTATCCAATGGTATCCGTCGTGACCTAGCGCTGGGATTAGCATAACATTCGCGTGACGTCATGTCCACTGACTAGCTTCTAGCTAGCCGCGCGGTGGATGTGACTGGATTTGCTGTATTTTATGCTCTCTGAACGGAAAAAAATATGTAATATATGAAATGAAATTGGCACTTACTATGTTTTTGCCACATGCAGTGTTCATCCTACATGAACTTATACGGTTTTTCCACAGGAAATTGAAGGAATTCGTCGAAGAAGTTAAGTGCAATGAACGTGGTCCGTACCATTACTATATAGGGAATACCATTCGGCACGCGCGCAGCGTGGTCAATTCAAGTGCATGATTGCAAGCCCAGCAGTGTCTGTACTTATTTGGGATTTTCGTATGGCTAAAATTCATGTGAGATCTTCTTTCAGGTTGCTTTATTTTCATTGTTGTGTTTTTCACTATGTCCTGTATTTTGCCATAGAGAAAGATGATGTTTCCAATGTGTAGACCTGTGTAAACACCTGTTGTTTATTGGAGTTACGCGTTGCGGTTTACCCATTTGTCACAATGGACTCTTCGGTACTGGCCTCACGCATACTTGCTACACATAGGAGTTATGCATAATGCATGATTGGGCATTGACCCATTCAGTACACGCGTGGCGTGTCCCGAAGCTCACATACACACACAACTGATTTTTTGAGACTTTAGCCATGAAACTTTTCCATATGTATTTGATCATTTGGATGTGCAAGATTTTTGAACACGTATGCAAATTTGATGAGAATAGGCTGGTGCCTGCATGTGCGTTACATTAGCGTTTGTTTTTGTATGCGGTGTCTGGGGTAAAAACATAGTCAATTCGTCGCAGCGCGAGCATATGTCGTGAGCTGCGAAAACTGACACAATTTTATTATAGTTTACACTATTACGATCTTAACGAGACAACATGCAATATAACATTTCATATTAATATATTAACAACTTGGAAAGGAAATGAGTATTTTCGAGAAGGCGTGGACGAATGATCGCGAAAACGCGTACTGCACGTTGTGAATAACAACACAAAGTACACGATACATTCCATTACTATAGCCAATTGCAGTATCGAATCAGGATACAGGAAGACAGTTTCCTATCCCTAGGGCTTACTATTGGAAACGAGGTTGGAAATAAAGTAAGCACTGAGGACGCGCGGGGTTGACCAGAACCAGAATGTATTGTGACAAAAATCGCTCTGCCTTTGTAAAATTTGTGGACACATTTTTATCAGTCAGGTCCGTAAGATTTTAAATGATCCTATCAGAAATTGCTCTTTTAATTTTATTCAATACACATTTTTCCTAGCATTGTTTCACTTACCAATTGTTCACATGCATATAGGGCACATCCTTGATGAATGTAGAATTTCTAGAAAGACTTTAATTACCTTACAATGGTGACTAATTTCCCTAGAGTTGTTATTTCTTACAGATTCTAGCGACAGTGGTTTTACATAACGCAACTGGTTAATGGCAGAAGTGTGTTTACAACAGGCATTGTATATCGTACGTATACTAATGAATAGGATTTGTACGTAAAACAAAGACTGTGCATTTTCAATAGCAAACGCTGATCAGTGCGAGTGATCATTTGCATATACGCTGCGCACGTTTAGCCAATTGTAGCGCGCGCGCAGTTCGTGGCCTAGTTTTTCACTGCCAGAACTATGATAAAAGGCGAGCGCCACCAGCATTGCATTCGGGTGGCTCGGTTCGAACCATTGATCTCCATATACACAGACTGGATAGGACATCGCGCCGTGTTTGTGCACGAATCAGTTCAAATTACTTATTGAAGAATTATTTGTCTCATCAATATAGCACAAATCTTACTTTAATCCATGATCGCTTGCCGTGCCAGAGATATCCGAATGAATCTGTGTAGTCCAGAGTAGTATATTCAGATCCCTCCAACGATGCATAAGTCGCACGCGTGAATCAAGTTGAAGCCGGTGTAGCGTGAATATCCGACTCCATGAAATGTGGACTCATTGCTAGTACTGCGCACGCGTGAGTACGATACTATGCTATTTTAAGGATCGTTTCGGGAGAGTGACTTGTCACATGCGAGGGATCAACCAATAATAGGGAAATAGGGGTCCGATTTTCATAGGAGTCGGATTTTCATGTGACACCGCCATTGTGAAACGACCTGAGCTGATTTCACAAACTTTTCCCTTCTTGTACAAACTGTCTATAGAGGGCGCTCTCAGTTACCACAAGTAGCTGCCGATTTTCTCCGTCGATATGGGATTTTAACTTTGAAGAATTAACCACTTGTCAACCAGAAATGCCACCTTTTCAGGTTTTTATTTCTCCTGAATTCAGTGTTCCTCAGAAAAATGACAAATTAAAAGTGGCTGGATATTTGGTCTGAAAATGAAATATCCAGAAAACATTTTTTGTTTTGTTTTTTAAAGGGCTGGGGATCATAAGGGTAGCTTCAGGATTGTTAGTGATTTAGGATTTGCATCGATATATCGGTGGCATCTCAACAGTCTTTCGAAAATGATACGTACATATCATAGGAGACTGGGCAAAGTATTATGTAAACCTTTGTTTGAAAACAGCTGCCTCTTTTTAGACAATGATGGAACGTGCATGCAATATTATACTAGGCTTGGACATTGGAAATCATTGGGGATGTCACAGATCCCCTGGCCCTACGTAAATTCCAGTTTTATTGTTTATTTTTCTCCCTGTTATGTACAGGTACTCTTTTTTACATTGAATAATGTCATTAATTGTCACTTATTATATTTGTTTCTACGTGTTTGTTTATTGAATTTTTGAAACTATTAATTTTGGCCCCATTTGCCGTCCATAGCCACTGCCTCCTTTTCACGGGAAAAAACAGTCCAATTTTGGTTGTGTACAATGTACTAGAATCACAATTATGCACGAATTTCATTGATGTACACAGTGATCGATGTGCCGCAACTGTCTTGTTCAAACAATTAACTCCCGACTTGAAAAAGGCTATCTTGAAGAGCCCCCCCCCCCCCAAAAAAAATGGGTTTTGAAACCGCGGATTCGTTCCAAGAGTTGCGATCATGAATTATGTAGGACCTGCACCTGAAACACTTTTCTCAATCAAGGACAATCTCATGCTTCCGATATTTCATGTTTAGTATATGATGCCAAATGTCCCAGTTTTCTGTATCATTGTGTCATGAAGGGCTTCTAAATAATTCTGCAGGCAGGGATGAAGCCTTAGCCGTAACTATTCCTCAGTTTAGAAATGGCAAAAGGGTACCAGCAGAAAATGTCCTTGCGCTGGTTTCCGAGCAGCAGACATGACGTCATGGAATAATAACGGTGACGCAGGATACCAGTGGGTGTGCGCATGCGTGGCTCGGCCTGCGCATACGTTACACAGCCTCTGCCATTTTGGGACCAGTTTTGAGCGGTAAGCCAACGGTTTTCCTCTATATTTTCACTGCCGAGTGCCAGTTTATTAAGATTTTTTACCCCGTGTAACCAACGAAGTTTAACTCTGGGTGTTCAGGGTTAGGATTGGAAGTAGATTGGATGACAAAAAGCCTGAACTTCGCCAGAAAATGAAGAGATATTTTGGGGGTTTTGCCGCGCCCTTGATAAATGGCGTCGAATATAACGTCCTTTTCCTTGTGCAGTTTGCGTGCTGGGCTACGTGGACATTTTTAATGACACAAACATGACAAAGGTTATTCCGTTTATTCTCCTTGCTCAATCAATGGCCTTTGAGGCACAATTACTCCTCGTTTGATGCATGGAGGCTACAACCATGGAGGTACATACATGTACTATGTAGGCCTAAACACATAACCCGGCATGTGATGTACATGTATCATAGAGCAAGGACAACAGATGTATAGAAGGCGAGGTTTTCGAAATTTTCAAAGAAATGAAACACGAATGAAGCAACTTTGACTCTACTTTGTGTAAAAAATCAACATTGATGAACAGTTTTATCATGCACTTGAAAATGATGAGGGGGCTGTTCATGTTGTTGTGAGAAGCATTCCATACATGATACATGGACATCACTATTTTTTTCTGCGATGATTATCAGTATTAGCCATCAGATTCAGAAAGCGATAACAAATAGGGCCTAACATGCCCTAAACTTGCTAAAACTTATTTTGCCGGGAAAATATTGAAGCATTTGGGCTTAGGCCTACTGAGAAAACAGAATTTTTCAGACCCAAAATTTCGGACTAGGGTTTGTGCACAGGTAGCCCCTTAAATGTTGTCTATTAGCCACGCATCCACATGTACAAAAACCAGGCATGCAACTTTTCCTCGGATCAGCTGATTTCCTCTTTTTTTAATTCCCATGTGTGCCATTGAAAATAGAAAAACACTCACTGTACAACTACAAAGTCTGGGAAAAATGTGAATAATTAATTTCCTCTTTTTTGTGTGATTTCCCAGTTGCATGCCTGAAAAACGTGTCGCACTTTGCCAAATTTTGATTTTCACATTTAGGCTTAGTTTGTAGGGTTTTTTTGCTTTAGAAGCATACTCACCCTTCTTTATAGGCTAATCAGAAAGTGCTGCCTTTTTCAGATGTCTATTTTTCGTGAAATTTCCAGATTCATTTGCACACGTTTGCGTATCAAAATTTCAACATGAAATTTCATACAAATTAGACATCTGAAAAAGGCAGCACTTTCTGACTAGCCTATTGGTGAGTATGCTTCTAAAGCAAAAAAACCCTACAAACTAAGCCTAAATGTGAAAATCAAAATTTGGCAAAGTGCGACACGTTTTTGTACATGTTGATGTGTGGCCTATGTTTACGGAGGCAGTCCAGTAAATAGGCCACATTTATTGGGCTAGGCCGAAGCCTACTGAGAAAACAGAATTTTTCAGACCCAAAATTTCGGACTAGGGTTTGTGCACAGGGTGTCAGGTATCATGAACTCTTTCCCTGTACAGGCTGAGTTTTTTAAACCAAAATAAAAGGGGAAATAGACAGTTTGGAAACTAGAATAGGCCTACTCTAACACTACAGTATAAACGTTGCTAATTAGCATGGTTAAATGTTAAAAAAAAATTGCATCAGTAAATAACATGGTCAGGTCACGTCAGTGGCATGTCAGTCCAGTGTTCAATCAGTCAATTACTAGTATACTCTTGCCACATAACAATACAAAACAATATGCCCAGAAAATCATCAGATCACAATAATGACATGCGGATAGGGGTCTCTAAAAAGCGAAGCTTGTCGAGTCGTGTCCAGTCACTTAATTAGTAATTTCCTAATTAATTAGTTCATTTAATTTAAGTTACAACAATTGCATAAACCACATATAAACAACATACAAGTAACTACAAGGGACATGAATTAGTTTTTTATAACGTAATTATTCAACAATTCTGAGAAATTTTTCACAGCATCCACTGCGCATTTCAGTGAGTGTAGTGCTAGCCTTTTCACCAAGGCCATCGTGGCTTAACTTACCCGCATTAGACAAAGCGGTGAAATCGCGAAGCGACTGGAGTGGGAGACCACACAAGCGAGTGGCAAAGCCACGAGGGCCTTTTCTAACTTGTCAAGAAATTCTTATATTTTTCTTAATAATCTTGAATGTTGCTACCCCAAAAGGGTAGCAAAATTCCAACCAATCATCAGCCTTTTAGTGCGTGCGTGGCTACTACCCGGACGCGTCGACGCGCCCGGATGCTTGCACAAAATTTAAAAACAAAAAATGCGAGTCTAGTTTTCCACGAGACCGTGACCGCGTAATTGTTCTTACATTATCTTATTTTAATTGTACTTACAAAAGTATTTCAAGAAATTATTTGAGTGTATGAACTTATTTTTCGTCTGAACTTACAGTTATTTGCTCTTACGTTTTCCTTACTCACCCTTCTCTTAAAAATGGAAGCGACTAGGCAAAATCTGCGTTGTGATTGGTTAACCTTCAGCACTCTTCTTATTTGCATAAAAACTATGAATAATTCAACAAAAATAAGTTAGAAAAGGCTTCGTGGCTCTGCCACTCGTGCGTGCTGACTTAATCTTTGCTCCAGTCACTTCGGGTCTTCGCAGCTCCGCCGCTCTGCCACGATGGCCTTGGCGAAAGGCTAGTGTAGTGCCGGTACAAGAACAGAAAAATTCTGGGTGACGGTTAGCTTGCGTATCATCCAGCTGACATGCTCATCAGGAATTCACATGCGAATTCCTGATGAGCATGTCAGCTGGATGTTACGCAAGCTAGGTGACGGTCAAAATAATATAGGCCTTACACTGTTATGTTCAAAACAAAACCGCACAAAATTTGTATAAAATATAAAACAGTAATTTAATTTGGAATTCCTTTGTTTTCATGGCAATTTTTTATTTATTCATTGTTCTTGAGGTTAATGGGCTGTGGAGAGTTTAAGGCAAAGTTTTGGAAAAAGGTGTTCACATGTATTGAACGTCATGATGCTAGTTAAAGGGCAAGTAGTATCGGGGGGGGGGGGGGGGACAACGGATCACATTCATGACGTAATATCTATATCCTCTCAAAGTTACTGTAATGTAATATTTTTAAAATGGTCTTACCTCAGACACTTTGCTCGAATTCATTGCGATTTCTTTTATTCTCTTTTCAGGATACTTTGAAGATTGCTGCATGAGTTTTACAGGACATACTCCTTGACGGAGCCAACTCCTATTCCGGTAAATACAATCTCTTATCCTAGTTAGGGTTGTGCATCGGAACCACGTACAGTCTGGGTACCTGACCCCTCATGTCAGGAACCGGTGGTTCCAGATTATGGGATCGGGTACCACTTCTCAGACAATGAAGAAGAAAGGTTTTGAATACCATTTGTGGGGAATTACGATGAAAACCAGGCTTTACATGGAAAACGACCAGATTTTACGTTTCTGTGCATTTTAATGCATGACAGAGGATGTTCAAGAGAGTTGCAGTTTACGCCGTTACCTTGTACCTGGTAGATCAAACTCCCAAACGGTCCACCAGGGACTAAACTGGAAGTTGACGAGAGTGGATTTATGTCTAGCGGGGGCTGTGATGTCTTTGTCAGTCACTTGTCACTCACTTAGTCAATCGCAAGTCATCACATGTCACTCGCATGTCAATCACAAGTCACTCGCAAGTTAATCACATGTCACTCACATGTCAACCACAAGTCGCTCATTTAGTCCATCACAATTCAATCAAAAGTCAATCACATGTCCATCACATTTCACTCACAAGTCAATCACAAGTCGCCTAGTTACAAGTCAATCACATGACAATCACAAGTCACTCATTTAGTCCATAGCAACTCAATCACATGTCACTTGCAAGTCAATCACATGCCAATCACATGTCACCCCTTAGTCAATCACTTGTCAATCTTGAGTAAATCACATGCTACTCGCAAGTCGTTCACAAGTCAATGACATGCCAATCACATGTCACTCCTCAAGTAGTCAATCACATGTCAATCTTGAGTCAATCACAAGTCGCTCACAAGACAATCACATGCCAATCACATGTCACTCATTTAATCAATCGTTAGTCTCGGCCCAAGACGTCAGTGATCAAGAGTGATAGTTGCATTATTGTCTAGCGCCCTTGCTTGCATAATTGATTTTTCACTTTCTCTCACTAACGTCTCGGTTATTTTGTAGCAACGGAGGTGGGCCATTTTATGTATAAACTGTCTGTATAAATTCAAAGAAGCACAGTTCCTTTTTATAGCTCCATGCCTGATCAGCGCATGTATAGCATGTATGTTTACAAGCACAACCATCGGTAGCTCGACTGCATCTGGCCGTACAGTACTATCGCAAGCTCTGTAGTACGGCCAGATCGCCAATGCTCCCCTAAACGCTGAACTCTGATGTAGCGATTTTGCTACCGATTTTGATCAAGATTATCTTTTCATCAAGGACAGAAATTTCCAAAGTTATGGTTCCTAGTCGTAGAGGAACTCATACCTTTTCGAAAAAAACGTTCTTTGGTCCCAATATTTTCATCCATCTGGCCAAAAGCTGACATTCAGTCATCTTCGCCCATGAAAATCGTCCCGAAAATTTTCCTCCTTCGATTTCAAAATGGCGGCCGCATTGTAATGTATGCATTATGCGGGCGCGCAAGTTTATGAATATGTATTATTCGGGGCCGTATCATAAGTCCGACGCCTCATAGGTCCGACGCCTCATAAGTCCAAAATCTATGAGGCGTCGGACTTATGGGCCTCATTTGGTTGGGGATGCGATTTTGTCGGACTTACGAGGCGTCGGACCTAGTATGAGGCGTCGGACTTATGAGCGGACCCCCATTATTCAGTTCATGACCTCGTGTTTGTATGGCCAGCCGCGCCGCGTGCCCGACAAACGTCATAAACTGCAATGCATATTCATAATCTTGCCAAAGCACGCCCGCATAATGCATACATTACAATGCGTCCGCCATTTCGAAATCGCATGGAAGACATTTTCGGGACAATATTTGTGGAAGATGATGACTGAAAGTCATCTTTTGGCCAGATGGATGAAAATATTGGGACCAAAAAAGGTTTTTTTTTCGAAAAGGTATGAGTTCCTCTACGACTAGGAACCTTAACTTTGGAAATTTCTGTCCTGGATGAGAAGATAATTTCGATCAAAATCGGTAGCAAAATCACTACATCAGAGTACAGCGTTCAGGAGAGCATTGGGTGTCTGGCCGTACTACAGAGCTTGCGATAGTACTGTACGCCTTGTTTTGTGTACAATCATATGGAGGCATTCTGCGTGTAGTCAAGGGTAAATGTAGAAATTGATGGTCTTGGGTGTTTTTTTTCTCTCTTTTTTTTTAACAAAAAAAAAATAAGATCTGAAGATTGGGGCTGTCAGAATAGGGTAGGTAGGTAGACCGGCAGCAGAACTATTTTTGTTTTTGGCCTTGATGCATACATGTACATGTTGTACATGTGTACGTTGTACATGTGCATATCCCATCATTTGCATTGATAGTGCGTTTAGTTTTGTTTGTTTATTTGTTTAAGCCTTTTTTTTTTTTTTTAGATTCTTGGAAGTTTCATTTCATATTGCTCCCCCTCTATTTTCCGTAGGTTTGTTGGTTCTGTTTACTTGTTGGAGTATAATTTCTTCACAACTGGACCGGCTCTCAATCTGGTAAGATTTTGTATTTTCTTTTTCATTTGTATTCTCAGAACTCCGAAAGAAGCACTTGCGGCAAATGACAATAATTCAAGTAAAATTGTATAGTATGAGGCCTGTAGTGTGATTTAAAAGTATAGTCCATCATTTGTAATTTTTGCATTTTGTTCGTTTGAAGCAACAATAGTGCTCAAATTCTAAAGAAGGGTGCTGAAAAGCTAACCTGAGGAAGTTTCAGCTCAGCTTCAGCAGTGTATTTTGAGAAAAACAACATTCGAGGATCTCGATTTCAAATCAAAAGTTGCTGAATCATGTTTTGAATTGGGTCTGAATTCAGCGCCCGAGACACGTTCTCACTGTGCCGATTGCATCTACGCGATGTTGCGCACAGAACCGACGAATTAAAGCAACCGTGCATGTGTCGTGCCAACGCTTGCGCTCACTTCGCCTATTGAAAAAAAAACGAACTACTAACGGAAATTTCCAACAGTGCTTCTTAAGACGCACTGTTGGAAAGGCCTTCTTTCATTGATTTCCTCAAATTGACAGCTTGCCAGAAAGAATAATTTCACAGGGAGTTTGGTCCTCTTACCAACTTTCAACCAAGTATGTTTTCAACAATAAATACGCCAGTTATTTTTTGGACAGCTGCAAATAATGGACTCTGGCTTTAAAGGTAGAGTAAATCATTTGCAGCTATTCTAAAAAGTAACCAGCAAAATTATTTTTTGGAAGAGGCAGAATGTTACTCCCCGATCAAAAAGTTCTGAAATTCATTCAAATGGTGGCAATGTTAGCATGTTTTTGTTGACCGTAAACCAGAAAAATTGACTCCCTGTGGCAACCTCTTGGTCATGTTGGTGACGTACTGCATTGTGAATTGCCGGTATTAGCAAGAGTTAAGATCCTGAGAGATGTTTCTTGAGTTTTGTTCTGATAGAGTCTACTATCTCTGTACAGAACCATTTGTAATTATGTTTTGTTTCATTTTCTCCCATTTTCCTCCTTTTTTTTTTAGTTGAAGATGGAAGAAGCCGACCAGTCAGCCTCGGAGTCCCAGGCTCTTGAGAAAACCACGGTAGAATCTGAAGTCACGGACGAAAATCGTATCGACCTGTCCGTAGCAGTGGAAACACTTGCAGGTGAGGAAAACCCAGTTGATGGCATCGCCTCTCAAGGTGCTGTAGTCGAGGGTCTCCCTCTGCAGTCGGAAGATGACCTCCCCCATCTGACGGCTCAGTATCAGGGTGTTGATGGGTACACTGGAGGTGAGTCAGTTGAGGGCCTTCCGTCTCATGATGAGTCAGTTGATAACCTTCCAACAGAGAGTCAGGTTATCGAGGGGCTTGCTCCTCAAGATCAATCAGTTGACGGCCTTCCTCTCCAAAACGAGTCAGTTGAATCGCTCCCGACAAATGAGAATACGGTTGAGACCTACATTGTCCAGGAACATTCCATTGACGGCATTCCGGGCCAGCAACATGTGGTCACTCTCGCAGGCCCGGATCACTCAGTTGGAAGCCTGCCAACTCAGACCCAGGCAATTTTGACCCAGCAAGTTTCACATCATATGGATCCCAATCACCAGATTGATGGCAATGATCAGGTGAACATAGACTCCTCTAACGTAGTCATAAGCACGGTCGAGGTGCCACTAGGTGTGAGTCATTATCATGATGCATCCCATATGGATGCTCAACAGGTCATGCATCACATAGATCCTAATATCGTAGAGGTCTCCTTAGCAGAGGCTGGCATTGATTCCACAATCAGTGTCCACCACGAGCAACATGAAATGGATAATAACTTAGCTGGGGTTCAGTTAAATGTCGATGGTTATCATGTTAACCAACCTGTAGTTATCACCCAAGACGGTCAGGCTATGGGCCAAGACGGGAATCCAATGAATGTAGAAATTCTATCTGGGGCAGACTCCACGATGGCTATCCAACAGGTTTCACAGTCTTACGATCCAAATGACGATTCCCAGCCACGTTATGTTCACATCATAACCGCACCGGACGGTACCATGAATATACAGCAAGACTCGCAAGAAATTCCGTTGGCGGTAGAGATACTAACAGGGCTTGCTGATTTTATGAATTCACAGCAAATGCAAGAGCAGCCCCAACTCATGGATCAGCAAATGGTCGATGCGATCATAAAGCATAAGAAACACAAGCAGAAAAAGGATAAGGGCAAGGATAAAGACAAACCTAAAAAGAACAAAAAGCACAAAAAGTCCAAGCGCTACAGGCTGACAGAAGATGCACAGTGGATGTGTGAGGTCTGTAAGAAGAAATTTGGCAGCAAAGCAAATCTCAAAGTTCACATGATATGCCACTCCTCTGAAAGACCGTACGAGTGTCACTTGTGCCACAAAAAGTTCAAGCGCAACAGGTATCTCATTGATCACAGAAGAACACACATTGGCGATCGGCCGTATTTTTGCAGCTACTGCCACAAGGCGTTCGCTAAGAAAAGCTCGCTTAATTGTCACGAGCGCGTGCACACGAATCCCTTCATGTGTTCAATCTGCAACAAGGGGTTCTCCGAAAAGCGCGGGCTCATCATCCACGTGAGGTCCCACACGAACGAAAAACCTTTCGTTTGTCCCATTTGCAACAAGGCCTTCACATCCAAAAATCCCCTGCTTCGACACGAGCGCAGTCACTCTGGCTTAAAGCCGTACATTTGCAACGTTTGCAACAAGGCGTTCACGCGCAAAACGTCGCTGCACGACCACGAGCGCGTTCACACGGATGAGAAGGCCTTCTCTTGCGAGAGTTGCATGAAGACGTTTGCAGCGCGGAGTAGCCTACGGAGTCATTTAAACAAGTACCATCCCGGGGAGAGACCCAAGGTCCCGAAACTTGTCAAGACTTTGAACATCCAACCGCCTGATACGTCCCAAGAAGCGCGAACTAGGAACTACTACAACAGAAAGCCTGCGAAAGGCTACGATAACCTCGAAAGACCTTACGTTTGTAAAATCTGCAACAGGGGTTACACACGGCAGCGAACGCTCACGGTTCACGAAAGGGTCCACACCAATCCCCTCCTATTCGCTTGCAAAGTCTGCGGCAATGTCTTTGCCGAGAAAAGATCGCTGGTGATACATGAGCGCGTTCACACTCGTGAAAAGCCTTACAATTGCGAACTTTGCGATCGCGCATTTTCCTCTCGCACTGCTTGTAAACGACACGAGAAGAGCCACACAGGCCTCAAGCCCTATACATGCAAAACCTGCGGGAAGGCTTTTACCAGAGGCACGTCTCTTCGCGAGCATGCCAGGATTCACTCGGATGATAAAGCCTTTTCCTGCTTGAAATGCGGCAAGGTGTTTGGCGCGAAGAGCACGCTGCGAAGCCACGATAAAAAACATCACGCTAATGAAAAACCGTTTGAAATCCTAAAAATCATTTTCACATAAGGCCCCTCTGTTAAATGTATGTCGCTAGAAAATTATGAGCATACACATGTGTACTCATTCAATTTTAATTGGCTGAGAATTTTAATTCCATGTATACATTGTGTCATTAAGTATGTGTAACATCCTGGGCACCATTCCTTCCTTCTCAGAAATGTTACCCCACTGAGAAGATATGCCTTTCACAGTTAACTTTTTACTTCCAAATTGAGGATTTCAATTCGCTCTTTTCACACTCCGCAATTGGGCATGCAGGGCCTCGATCTGGCAACTTTACACAATAAAAATAGCCGGTTCAGTGATCTGAACCCTGACAGGGGAATCACTAAACCGGCTATATTTATTGTGTAAAGTTGCCAGATCGACGCTCTGCAAGCCCATGGCGGAAGTGTGAAAAGAGCGAATAACTTTTAGTTGTTTATGTTTCTTTTTTGCATGTTGTAAATATTGCAGTGTACAAATTTTTAACGAAGCCTATATCCTATGCGTCTACACATGTAGCTGTCACATTTGAGGGGAAATTTGTAACTTCAGTTCTGTAACGATGGATCGCAGTTGTAATGAAGTTATCACAAGTCAATCACAGTTCAATTAAACGTCAATCACAGGTCAATCGCAGGTCAATCACAATCATGGTGATCACAAGTCGATTACAAGTCCATCACAAGTTAATCACATTTTGTGATTTGATGTGGGATTATCTTGATAGGATTTGAGATTAAAACTGTTTATTTTAAAACATCAGCACTGTTACTGCTAATTCAAACACATATACATATTTGTACAATGTACATACAGGTGAAGTTCAGCTGACGTACATGTATGATCACATGAATGTTTGTTAGTGTATATTATATAACTGACATACAGATCCTAGTCATTTGATTGGTGGAACTCACATCACATGACATTCGTTATTGCTCCCATTCACGCCGCGGCTCAAAAAGTACTATCCGCCCATGGGGAATGGGAAATACTATTCAACAGTTAGGATCATGACGCGGTATTTGTGTACAAATGCATGCTGGTGTGCGCATTCAGTGTTGCGCGTAGCGTGTATTGTTCCAAAGAGCCATTGCTACAGCGTTGGGTTCAAACATTTTCGTGAAGGGGTGGTTTGGACTAGAGAAATAGATTTTCCTCCAGTTTCGCATTGAAAAAGAGTTCAAATGTATCAAATGACAAGGATCTATATGTCAGTTATATAAAACAAATATTGAGTGGATTTAAATTGTGAAATGGGAGGAATATTATCGCTCGGTAAAATCTGGACTTTTCCAGTTCACTCGGCTTCGCCTCGTGAAATGGAAAAGTCCAGATTTTACCTTGCGATAATATGCCTCCCATTCCACGCTGAGCCACTCAATATTTGTATACTGTTTTCAGTTTGCAGTAATTGTAAAATATAATGCACACAGTTCAATCAGACACTTACACACATACATTTACTTCCTGTTAAAGTGTTAAAGCATGTGTACAGCATCTATGGATTTTATTTAATTTCCTGCATAACAATAGAAATCTATAGAAAAACAGGTTTGGGGATTTATATATTTATTTGTTATTATTTTGTTTTACTGCATGAAACATTGATGAGAATTGCTGGATTTTTACCTAATTTCTTCAACAGGGGCTGAAGTTATTTTTTGGGAGCATTAAGGTCATGCACACGCACACCCATGCACATGTGAAAAAAAACACTTACATGTGTACGTTGTATTTAATGTCTAACGCATGCAGGTTTTGTGGAGGAATTTGGAGAATTCAGTATCTTGGCTAATTGCCATTGTAATATTAAAACATTATATTTAAAGGGAATGTACAGCATTTGCTTTTGCTGCAATTTTCAGAAATTAATGGATTTGGAGGATTAGTATGCTATAGCAAATACTGTTAAACTGACTTGTTTCACGTTTTGGGCTTGTTTATGCTGGAAAAACCAAGAAAACCAATCATTTTCTTGTAGTCTGGTTCCCCGACCCCACTTAAGATGAAACGGGGAAACGTAAAGACTTTTGGGAATTGTAAGGTCAAAGAATCACTCTAGCAGGTTTGTACCCCTTTACATGTGTGTAATCTATTGCAAAGAAAATGCGGCATAATTAAATATAAAAAATAGGAGCAATTTTTGAAAAAAAGCCAGTTTTTCCAACGCTGGTCGGCCGACCAGCGTTGGAAAAAAATAGTTTTTCTTGAAAATGTCAGCACACCAGGAGCCACGATTTTACAGGATGCTTTAGAATGTCAATCCCTAACAATTCAGTAAGGTATTTTGTGATAATTTGGTCATTTCGTTTTTTGATGTTTGCAAATGTTGTATCTTCCCTTTAAGCAAACTTGAACCCTCGATTCCGATTGATTGATCCGTGGCAACAACAGTGTGATATTTAACAATTGTTGAATGTTATGAGGTGAGATATGACGTTTTGAACACCCGAGGGGCGCGGCTATGCACGATGTTGTACGCCACCAAGAGTTTGCCACGGAGAGTTCATTTTTTTCCCAGTGCATTGTGGGAGATGGTCGACAGATTCGCAGCACGAGGCTTTTAAAATTGTTTGTTTTTTCCGGTCAGTAGTTTTGTAAGCGTATGATTCAAGTATCTGTTTGCCCGTTTCTTTTCTTGTTAGCAAATACGCAATGTATGGTGTTTTTTTTTTTTTGAAAGGTGGCAGAACGCTATTCCCCAATCTATAATAAATTAGCTTAAGCTGTGAACTTGCACACTCATTCATATTGGCCGTTTTTGTCGACTGCAATTTGAAAAATGAACCCTCCATGGCAAACTCTTGGTGGCGCACAGCATTGTGAATCGTCTGAACTTGCAAAAGCTTTTGAATTTCATTTATCCGTGCAGTGGAACAAATACCAAGCCTTCAAAGCAGTTGTGTTATATTTACATGTACATGTGCATAATTTGTTAAACAAATATTCCTGTTGCACATGTATGTTTGGCCCACTGATCTCTATATAAAGACTGGATAGCGGATATGCATACACCATTCACACAGTAGACTTTGCATATTGACCAATTCGCCCCCGGTCTCACGAAGATGGCCGCGTATAATACGAACGTTCTACGCGTAAATACGCGCGCGTTGTATCAACAGTTGACGCGCATTTTGGTCACGTACACATATTATGATGTTCTAAAAGGGACACATTTCCGTAGTGATTATTATTTCAAAACGCCGAAAAAGTTATATTTGCGGCATTTTAGTAACCACGACGTTAGAAAAATTGTAGTTAACCTTGGTCAGTGATGGTGGTCAAAATATAAGTCAAGTGAACTGCGACGTTACAAAAGAAATCATGCTGTCTATAAAAACGGCAACTTGTCCTTTGTAGATCACCAGCCGGTCTCACCAATATGGCGTCAAATTCGTACATTGTGCGGCTCTGTATTAGCTATCCAGTCTTTATATAGAGATCAGTGGTTTGGCCACTGAATCTTGTACCATATTATTCTGTGTATAAATTTGAGGTTGATTGCGCATTAAAGGTGTTGGATTTCGAAACAAGAAAAGTTGTCAAATTTGAGATTTTTGTTTGAAGTGTGTGGATGAAGTTTCAAAATACATTGTTCTGATGTACTTACATGTATGATCGTAAACTAGTTTGTGGCGATTTCCTTTTATGTTGCCATTCTCATTGCATAGTTTGTTGGAATTTCTTGTTACTGTGCCCAGCCAAAATTTGTTAAGTCTTTTGGAAATGCCGTCACCTGAGCTTTAAGTATCTGCACTGCACCCCCCTTTTACAATTCCATTGACCCCTCCCACAAAGCAACATGCTTGTATTTGTCCCTTTTTTATTACATATTATCAGATATTAATATGACATGATCTAGAGCGCCCTGTCCCATTCAGTTTCTAACTTACGTTACGGTACAAGTGAAATGGGGTCAAAAAAGGAAAGATTCTCATATCTGGCCATCGCTTGTCAAGCTGTGCACAAATCCTATGAGACTGGTCTGACAATTTTCAAGTGTTTTCTCAGGAAAAGCTTCAATATTTTTCCTGCTAAATTTGACTTGCTGATAGGTCACTGAAGGAAAAAAAAAATGTGATGGCCAAGGGAATCTTTCCCAAAAGAACTCTATGGAACTCTAAAGTTCCAAAATTTACACGAGTTGCCCTATAGAATGCATGCGGGAGAAAGGGGGGGGGGGGCTCAAAAACCCTGACAATGCGCCGTTAAAATGGGCATATAATTTGCAGTATGCATAATAATGGTATTTTTTGAAGGGCGCCCCCATTCGGAAGATAGGTACTAGCGCTCCCCCCCCCCTCCCGCTTTTTGATTTAACGGAGGCCAAGTGTGCGGGGACAAAAAACATGTCTACATTTCGGCGCGGATGTGCAGCCCCCCCCCCCCCCCCCACCACATCAAAAGCTGCATACGCTACTGGGAACACCCCCCCCCCCCTTATGCAAATATATGTAAATATAGTAAGAAAAGATAATTCACGAATGCTGTGCACTTGCTCTGGAAAACAAAAGTGCGCAGTTGGGTTGTGGATGGCTGGATGGGGGCGGGGCCAAACAGTGCATGGGAGGGTGGCCGTCTATTATGTGGCAAGTGGCTTGGTTCCTAACTGAATAATGGTTGAATGCATTGAAGGTGGATACGCGACTATTTATATAATATAAAATATGAAAACCTCCACAGTCATTACACATCACAAGTGAATCTCAAGCCTCTCAGCATGGGCGTAACAAGTGGGGAGGGGGAACACGTCACATGGGGCGTTGTTTACGATGCAAATGTACATGGACATCTATATACACAGTGGAACGCCGGATTTAGCCCCATTTAGCCCCATGTGTGATCGACTTGGAATTATTTTGATCAATACACCCATGCGCATGATTTTCTAAAATACCACTTTACTTCTTGTTCGCGGGTAACACTTTCTCAGCAGCCTAGCAACGGGACTCTCAACTTCACCATTTTCCTGATGTCCGTCTCTGACTTGCTTGATTGACCGGTTAACTTAAGTTGTGCTTCTGATAATGCCTAACCACAAGCCTATAATAATGATAAATCGTTTGTGTACTCTCCATATCAGCTGAATGTGTGAGGTGAATATATAGGCCCATAGTCAAGTGGCTTAGATCTAATTTTCGCAAAGATCGTGACCGACTGGTCCAAAGCACCAAACTTGGCAGATAGATTCTTACAGACCTAGAGAAGATATTTAGAAGGGGTGACACCTGAAATTCTTTTGGGAAGGGTGCCTAATTTGCATAAATCGTTAATCCCTGTCGTGTTATATATTTATTCCCATATTTGGGTATATTTCTATTTTATTATTTTTTTTGAAAAGTGTATTTTGGTGATTCTACTTACATATCTTTACTTAAATAACACTTTCCAAAGCATATAAGTGACTGAATAATTAGGAGGACATAGTAACGATCCAAAATGGCTACTATTATGCCCTAAAATTGCGCGCATTTACCTTGTCTCCAGATATCATCAATTAGTCTTGCCAAACATCAGCATTAATGAACTTCAATTTCACCAAGTAGCTTACTGGTACAGTAACCATATTAAAACCTTATGCAAAATCATGTGAACAATGAGAACATTGTTATATTTAGCCCAGAAAACAAAAACTGGGAAAAAACGAGGTGTCCGTAAAATGGGCTAACAAGTAGGTGAAGGGTCGCCTAACAAGGAACACTGTAACAAGTTCAAGGAAATTCCCAAAATTATGGTTGAGAAAACGTTTTGGCGTAGACAGAATTATTGGAAACAACAATAATCTCTTATTTAGGGGGATTCAGTTGAACTTTTTCAAGTTCCCACGTTACCCTTCCCGTACTAGCCCAATTTACGGACACCACATTTTCTCCCTTTTTTGGGCTAAACATCAAGATGTTATCAATTTTCACTTGATTTCCCACTTATTTTTGTTAGGGTAACTATGCCAGTAAGTAACTTTGTGAATTTGAAGCTCATCAATACCCACGTTTGGCGAGACTAGTTGATGATATCTGAAGAAAAGGTAAATGCGCGTAGCTTTAGGGTAAAATAGTAGCAATTTTGGTTCTTTACTATGTCCTCCTAATTATTCAGTCACTTATATGTTTTACAAAATGTTATTGAAGTAAGAATATGCAAGTAGAATCACCAAAATACACTTTTCAAAAAAATAAAAAAATAAAAATATACCCAAATATGGGAATAAATATATTACACGGCAGGGATTAACGATTTATGCAAATTAGGCACCCTTCCCAAAATAATTTCAGGTGTCACCCCTTTTAAATATCTTCTCTAGGGCTATAAGAATCTATCTGCCAAGTTTGGTGCTTTGGACCAGTCGGTCACGATTCCGACCATATGCCACCTGACTACTAGGCCCAGTACCATGAATCAAAGTTCCTAATGCTGTAGGCATCTGAGATGAGTTAATATGAGTATGCATGTATTGCCAGTACAGTATATCCAGCTTTGGATGTCGGGGGGGGGGGGGGGTGGCAACCGCTCATCCGCTCCGAAATGTATACATGGTTTGTTTTTCTCCAGACACTTGACCTCCGTAAAATCAAAAAGTGTTGGGGGGGGGGGGGGCTCTGGGGGCTGGTATCCACCTTCCAAATGGGGGCGCTCTTAAAAACTGACCATTATTATGCATACTGCAAATTATATATTCACGTTCAAGGCGCAATGTAATGCTTTTTGAGGGGGGTTTCGTTTTTGGAATTGATGTTAAAACTCTTTAACCATTTAGTGAAATAATTGGTCATCAAATTAGGTTTGCCCTTCACATCGTCGACGCGTCGGTGAAGGGCAAACCTAATTTGATTTATATCACCCCGACGCAAAAATCCATCTTATAATATAAATAATTGCTGAACAAAAAAAATTGTGACAAAAATCCGCCAGGGGGCATACTGCCCCCTCTGCCCCCCCCCCCCCCCCCCCCCCCCCCAAGGAAATATGCCACTGTATATTGCTTAATTTGTTTCAATCCGAACTTCATTGCAGTTTCAAAACTTTAATATGAATTGTAAACTGTTTATGATTTTCCGCATAGGAGTGTTATTTCATTTGCTAGTATATTGAATCTATTTCGTCAAAAAGAATATAGCGCCTACAGGTTGAGTTAAAACAAAACACGAAACCCAAATGGCAGGACCAATTTTTGAATGCAGTTTTGCGACTAGCACTGTCAAAATCTAGGATACGAAAGCCCAATCAATGAGATTTCTTTTAGTACAATAATCATTCAAATCGTGTACATTGTACCTTTCAAGTTACAAACACCGTTTTTAAAGTTCGGTCCCGGATCACATAAAATAAAGTATGGTAAGTGTTCTTATAGCAAAACGAAAACAATTCTCATAGGGATGCATGTGAAATGTTTTCGTTTTGCTGAAAGGACACTTAATATTTTTGTGATCCGTGGACAGAACTTTAAAACAGTGTTTGTGTTCAAAATTCCTTTAAAAGTGCATGACTGATTTGAATGATTCTTGTACTAAAAGAAAACTCTTTGATTGGGCTTTCATATCCTATATTTTGAAAGGGCTACAGGCAAAACGTGATTCAAAAATGGTCCTGCCAATCAGTGGCGTCACCAGACTTTTCAGTCTGGGGGGCACAGGGGGGGGGGGGCACCAGCATTTGATGGGGGGGGGGGCACTTAGGTGGATACGGATCGCCGTCCTGGGGGAGGGGTCTAAGGGGAGGGGGTGCCCCCCCTCCCCTTTGGAAAATTTTCGCATACGGAGGATGGGCTAGATGCAAAATGGTGCCACATTTGATGCTAAATTCGATCTGAAGATATCTCAAGAAATTGCTATTCTTGAGGTAATGATTTTAACAACGCGTAGCATTTTGCAGAGGATAGGGGGGCACCAGCATTTGATGGGGGGGGGGCACTCGGGGGCACTAGGTTTTCCGGGGGGGGCACGTGCCCCCCCCCCCTGCCCCCCCCTGCCCCCCCCCCCCCCCCCCCCCCCCCCCCCCCCCCCCCCCCCCCCCCCCCCCCCCCCCCCCCCTTGGCGACGCCACTGCTGCCAATTGGTTTTCGTTGTTTTTTTTTTTTTTACTTACCCTGCATGTTAAAAAGAACTAAACTGCAGCGAAATCGAAAACATGTCGTCCGATTTAGCTCTCGAGTGTTATTGACATATTTAAATGAGGGCAGAAAGATATCTGCTTCTTTAATTGTCAGGAACTATCATAACGAAATCGAGGTGAATTGCAAACAAGTTTAACAATAGGGTAAACCATGCGTATCATTTCCCGATGTATGCCGTGTGTACACACCGGGCTAATGCAAAGGTCACAGTGTGGGTGTGTGTGTTGAATTGCGATTTCATTTTGGTGTGGTAAGATATACGGTAGGCTTAGCATTGAACAGTAATTTTGTTGCGAGTCGTCATTTCATTTTTATATTGCTGTACCTGAGTTATCACATCTGTGCTGTGTAGATTTAGTGGGCTACTGTCACAGGAAGTTATAGTTACAGGTATGTATTCAGAGTCAATATAGTATAGGCCTATTTGTTGAAGCTGAGACTAGGTATTGACAATTACATGCAACACAGATAAGTTATGGACTTGACTGGCACATGAAACAACCAGTCCAACACTGAACCCTCTACTGCATCTCCGATCTATGTATCTCTCCATAGAAAATATACCGTGCATGTTAAACTATATCCACAGTATTATGTGATGAATTCTTGGGACAACGCTATAGAGCGACATGGTCCCCCCCCCCCCTCCCCTCCGGATCGCCGCGCCCATGCCTTCGTGTTCATGTTATATCGGTAGGCACAAAGGAAGTTGAGTCAAGGCCAAAAGCTTGCGGTACGCATAAGCCGTATATGTGATGTGCCCTGTGAGATCAATAGGCCTACTGAGTTCCCTCGCTGAAAGAAATGTACGTTATATACGTAAACTGAACATAACATTCGCTCACTTTGTCTGATATAATTCTAATCTGCATGCAAACTATTCAGCCGGCGGGTACTGTTGAATGCGATAACCTCACAATTAATGCCGAGAATAGGCTAAATCCGATCTACGTAGCTATAGACAGCTAGTGCATGAAACATTTCCAATCGGCTTTGCTTAAATAAATCAGGAGACTATCTTAAGAACGGATAGTTTTGTGTGGCCTTATTATGTAGTGTGGCCCTATCATAGCATTTTCTGCAAAAAAAGTGTCGCCCTATTATAACATTTAGCCTAATAATCACAATAGTCTTTAACTCGTAATTCTGCTTAGATCTATTGAGTCATGTCTGCTCCAGCACTTCCGCCCTTTGACATCTCAGCGGCCAAGCTGAACCCGGACACGGTTGCCATAGTAACTGGCTCAGCTGATGGACTGGGCAAGGCTTTTGCGCACGCCTTGCTGCAGAAGGGCGCCAAGGTGAGAATGCTCCATAGGTTAATTCAGGAGACATCTCGGCAAGATTTCCATATGCGAAGTTAACTAATTTTCCTCTGTATTGACTAGCAAGCCCCAGATAGCAATTTCATGTCATCAAAGTCAATTTGAGCAGTGAGAAAATACAAGCATTTTCTAAGAAAACACTTAAAATTTTTCAGTCCAATCTCATAGGGTGTGTACACAGGGTGTTGAGTGAACTTCGTATATGGAAATCTTTCCGAAATCTCGAAAAAATATCCAAACAATGTGAACAACTCCCTACTCTTCGGTTCGTAAGTGACTGCGCGCGTCAAACACGCACACGCACCACTGATTACGAAGACTCATTGCCTAAACACACAACTTTGCCCGGTTCCAATGGTTCCAACGCTACTAAATGTGTGGTGGGCGTGGTTTACACTGATTTGACGTCATACCTGCAAATCGGATAATTGTAAAGAGACCACGCCATTAAGCCCCGCCCGTGACGCTTTGTCCAATCACAGCCGTAATTAACGTGCAACACGCGTGCACAAACGACCGATACTGGTCCGACAGGCGTGCGCGTCCGTATGCCGCGGGCGGCTGGAACACGTGGCATTGAACAGACGAATGCATTGGTTCACACATGCGTAGTGAGCGGAGTTTATTGGATCGGTCTGTTAAAGGGAATATACAACATTTGCAAACATCGAAAAATAAAACTATCAAGTTTTTACGAAATACCTTATTACTTGGATGTTGGTATTACAATTATAATTTTACAGGATGCTTTTGACTGTCATTTAAAATGACAGCCAAAAGCATCCTGTAAAATTATGGCTCCTGGTGTGAAGTCATTTTCAAGAAACTGGTATTTTTGTATACATTTCCAACAGTGGTAGGCCGATCACCGTTGGAAAAACCTGACTATTTTTCAACTTCTGCTTCAAATTTACCATTTTTTTTCAGTCCAAATTTTGTTTGCTATTGGTAACATGTTTATGAACGGGTGCAGGCCAGCTACACTGGTTCCCTTACCTTACAATATTCCGGCATCTATAAATTGATCCATTTTATCCTTAGTGGAGTCAGGGAACCAGACTACTTGAACATTATCGTTTTTCTTGGTTTTTCCAGCATTTTCGAACACAAAACTTCAAACTTGTCAGTGTAACAATATTTGATCTATTAAACTAACCCCTCAAGAAGTTCATTTCTGAAAATTACAGCAAAAGCCAATGATGTACGTTCCCTTTAAGTAAATGAACAGTATGGGAAAAAATGCTGATAACGTCATCTAAGGAAGATTCCGGGTAAACAAAAAAGTTGTTAGTCTCCAGAAACTAATTTATTGCGGCAACTTATCGTGGACATTTTAAGAAGGTGAATTAAGAGGAAAGATAACCTTCTTGTATTATTCTGAAAAATCATCGACACGTATTAATACCTTTTGTACATACACATTTTGAATGCGTAGAAGTAAATAGAATGGGGACCATTTTATTCAAAGGAAAAATGCATTTTAAGTTTTAATACAGAAATGTGGGTATTTTATCAAAGGATGTCTTATTATTTTGCAGTTTTTGGAAAAGGAGTTGGAGCACTTGAACACCCCCCCCCCCGTCCCTACCGCACCCCACCCAAACTCCAGTCCCCATACCCCTAAATACGTCGTGGGTAAAAAAAATACCACAAATAAGTGCGCCATTGGAATACCACAAATAAGTGCGCCATTGGACATCAAAACTGTGGTAAGAACTTGTCCAGCCTCACATAATGATACAAAAATGTGAACATCCCGAAGCTTTCGATCATATTTTTTTTTCTGTTGTCATCCAGGGTGTGTGTATTTCTGACGTAAACGAGGAGAAAGGGAAGGGCGCCCTCAATGAATTTGCGAAGGAATTCGGTGAAGATCGGGTCACCTTCGTCAAATGTGACGTCACAGCACACGCAGATTTTGAAGGTCAGTTTCAATAGTTGGACCGAGTGATTAGATTTTGACTGTCACAGACTTTGATTTTGAACAGGTTATATTGATCGATTACTAAACTGATTTTTTTATATTTTTTTTTAACCTGGGAATATTTATAATAAAGAAAACATGCAGAAAGCAAACACCAACTCATACAGGCTTTTTAAGCAACCTCGTTCCCAGTGCTTACTTTATTTCCAATCTTGTTTCCAGTAGTAAGCCCTGGATATGAAACTTTCTTCCGGAATCCTGATTCGATACCGCAATTGGCTATAAATGGATTTATATCGTGTACTTGATGTTGTTATTCACAACGTGCAGTACGTGTTTTCGCGACCATTCGTCCATGCCCTCTCGTGCGAAACTATTCATTTCCTTTCCATTTTGTTTTCTATTATTATAAAATATGATACTGTATGTTGTCTCGTTAAGATCATAACAGTGTAATCAAAATAAAATCGTTTTTTTCGTAACTCACGCCATGCTTGCGCTGCGACGAATTGATTCTGTTTTTACCCAAGACCCCGCATACAAAAACAAACGCAAATGCAACGCACATCAGGCAGGCATCAGACTATTCCTCATTTGCATACGTGTTCAAAAATCTTGCACATGCAAATGATCCAGTACCAGGGCGAAAGAGCAGGTAGTAGTGGGCGCGTACTGCTCGACACCCTGGGGACGAGGTTGGCTTTTAAGGCAAACAAACCTGTTCCCATCTTTAAATGATTGTAACATCAAGCCTGAATATGTATTTCTAGTCTTGTAAAAGTATAGAAAATACCTTTTATTTGTGCATTTATAGCGGTGTTTGCCAAGACTAAGGAGCGTTTTGGCCCTGTGAACTTGATGGTTAATAATGCGGGAATCTTGAACGAGAACGTGCCTGATCTGTGTATAGACGTCAATGTGGTAAGTGCTACCAAGGCTTCCAATATATCGATCAATTAAGCCACGCCCATCACCACCCACATTGGCAGCAACACGTGCGCCTATCCAATGGCAGACTGCATGTCGGAATGTTGTGCCCGCTGTTCAGGCATAAATCACGGTCCTGATTGGTCAGAACGTATGGGGCGGGGCTTTTTTAGATGTATTTAGTAATGGTATACAAATAATGAATGCTTATGAGTGCAATGGTGAGAATAATTTCATGAGTTGAAAGATTGATTGTTCCATTTAACGAGGCGAAGCCGAGTTGAATGGAACAATTAATCGATCTGTCAAATGAAAATATTTTCACCATTGCACGAATGAAAAACATTCATTATTGGTTTTATATAACATCCAAGTAGATCTTTATCATTCGATTAAATAAAACTTTAAGAACGAACAAAACTCACAAAATTGTTAACTACTTTCTTCAGCTTGTTCAAGGCTAACAAAGGTTTGAAAGTCAAATCATTGACAATAATGAAACTTAACACTGAAAGTTCTTAAAACAATGCAAAAAACATCATCAAGCCAACTGCATCAACTTCAAAGGCAAGTGGTGCACTACTTTAACGCATGATAAGGTCTGAATAGCGCAAAGTTCGTATAGACCGCTTGCAGATGCGTTCGATAATCGACGCGCGAAGGCGCGCGACGCCATGTTGTGGGACAGGCGTAGATATATCTATGCACATTTTGTCCCATAACATGGCGTCGTGCACCTTCGCGCGTCAATTATCGATCGCGTCTGCAAGCGGTCTATTGCACCGGGCCACTGCGCGTCTTAGCGCACGAGGCGTGCAATAGATCAAAAGGGATGGGACGAACATGCACGTTTAATGGAACGAAAAATGCACGGTTATGACAAAGTCCGTGCGCACGTGCAATGGTTCGTTTAATGAATGCCGCGTGACCTACAATCCTCCAATCAAATATCTCAATGATTTACTTGGGTATTATATAAAAGCAAATACTGAGTCACCACGCGCGCGCACAGGACTAGCACGCGCACGCTCTACGTTCCTTCGTCCATTGGGATTCCTGAATGCGCGCACGCCTCGACTTAAAGAACGCACAGGTGGTACGCGCGCGCTCTGCGCTTCTTGGACCAATAGGATTACCGAATTGCGCGCACGTCTAGACCTGAAGGATGCAGGTGGTTCCTTCATTTTCACGTGTCCATCCAAGGTCACCACATGTCCACCAGTTATAGGACAAGTCAATTATTGTGAACAAAGAACCATCGTTCATTATTCGTCCCCAGTTTATACTTGTGATAGACTTAAGTGACCGGACATTACTTTGTGGATCTGCTGTAATATCTTGTAACAATAAATGGCTAAAATTACCGTTGGGGAATTTTCTTTTTGTTTGTTTAGTTTGTTTAATGTGTCTCTATTTTGATGAAAATTTGTGTCTGGAATTTGTATTTTCAGAAAGGAACCATCGCCGGAACGTTCTCTGCCATCAAATACATGGGCTCTGAAGCTGGGGGAAAAGGAGGAAAGATAATCAATGTGGCTTCTTTAGCAGGTATTTCTGTTAAAAAAAATAAAATATATTCGCTCAGACAATCTTATTTTATTCACCACTCTGAGAGAATCACTGCATTATAAACAATATAATTATATTATTACAAAATTGCATTAATTTGAACCTTTTCTTGTCTTCTAACGTTTTATACAAACTTGTGTTTTGAAAATATCACTTGAAGCAAACTGTTTCCTTTTCTCACCGATGCGTCCATCAGGTCTGGGACCCGCCGTTTTCATGCCAGTCTACGCAGCCTCAAAGCATGCCATCGTTGGCCTGACTAAATCTCTTGCGGTAAGCAGTCGTAAAGTAAAACTATTCAATGCATCCCATTAAAATCTTGATATTCGTTTTTTTATCTATATTTGCAATCCTCTCTGAATGTTGGATGAAAAATTATTGAAAGCTGATTTATAAACTTAAAGAAAATAGTTTGCCAGTGCAGTCGTTTTATTTGGTAAAACTTTCCAATCTTAAATAAAGTACAACATTTTGTGAGTCTGGTATATTTAGTAGTCCAGTCCAATCAAAAATCGATCACAAGTCGGCCATAAATAAACTCCGTACTATTAATTGTACCTTTGACCTCGTCGTTGACTTTGTGACCTTTATCTAAATTACAGTTTGCCTTCATCTCGTTGACCTTTGACCTCATCACACTGACCCTTGACCCAACAGGTCGATCCACGCCTACAGGCGCAGGGCATAACCTTTGGGATCTTGTGCCCAGCCTTCGCCAAAACTGCTATCATTGAGAATCCGGCGTTATTCAGACGGCCTGCCGAGGACTTCGCCATTGCGGAGTCTGTTATGGCTAAACAAGGAGTCTTAGAGTGAGTATTGGCATATGAACATTGAAGCAACTATTCCGCCATCTTGGATCCCCCAAGCAGAATGCAACAGAATGGTTATTGAGCCATGATTGAGAAGATAATGCTTTCATTTTTATCGATCATCAGGAGTTGATTAAACACAGTTATGATAACAAAATTCACGTTCGGGGAACATAATGAAAATGTAAAATTCCCTCCAGGAATGGAACCTGGAATCTGCAGCATTCAGATCAGCAATGTATCGCACACGCCACAGCGAGATTACGCTGGCCACCGTAGAATATAAGGCCAAGTTCGCGCAAGGACTATAGTTGACCAATGGTTAACTAACGTTTGCCCGAACTCTGTCTAGTCAACGGTGGTTGACTACGCTAGTCGACTATTTGGAACCAGCCTACTGGGGTTGGTTGCTTCGCTGGTAACCAACAGCCGCGCACATTCATAACGGTAGCAGAGAGCGATGACATTTTGCGATGACATTTTGACCAGCGTTTGACTAGAGACGTTCGCACGTTGCTATCAGTGCGCAGGCGTAAGGTACGTCACAAATCAACCACTAGTCGACTAATGGTCCTTGCCCGAACTTGGCCTAAGCTGTAAGACCTTATTCCGAATCAGGTGACATTTAGTTTTCTCTTGATATGTTTTCCGCACGCACATTATAATCATTGACTATACATGATGCATACAAAAATACTACAATGACGCACATGTATATCGTTCTGCAGATGAGGTTTTTATTTTTCGCTTGAAAACAACAATTTCCTCAAATTGTCTCCTTTTTTTCGATGATGGCCAGTCCTGGGGAATATTGTCTAATTAAAAAGTAAGGCCACAAAAAGTCTCCGGTTTCTGGTATGCGCGCGCGTCGCCGTAGCCATGCGCGTCGGCAACATGAAAAAGTTTTTTTTTTCAATGAAAGATGATGTTTGAAAACAGCCAAACTCACTGGTTTGACTGGAGTCCTGCTGCTGCACGATTTTAACGTGTTTTTAGATGGGGTTATGGTCGAGAATAAGCTTTATGTGACCTCTCTGGACTCCAGTATATTTGCACTAAGTTTAGTCGGGCACCATTTACAGTCATCAGACGACATTTGAAGCAAAAAAATCAGGTAAAAAAAAAAAAAAAACCGCGTCACCGCACCACTTTTTGGGCAAGCTCCATACCAAAACCGGAAACTTTTTTTTTGGCCTAAGAAAAAGGACCAGTCTTTTTTTCGCCTAAACATTGAAGAAATGCAACACTAAATATCTGGAAAAAAAAGAGAAAGAAAGCTTCGTTTACCGCGTACGTCGTGGGTGACTCAAGATGGCGATCTCTTGAATCAATGCGGGGATAAAATTAACGTCATGAATTAAGAAGTAAGTCTAACGCACAAACGCACAGAGAACGGCAATTATATAAAATTGAAAGTAAAACTAAGTGACAGACGAAGAAAAAACACAAAGCATTTAAATGTCGATGGGAGAAATCTACGTGAGGTTTTAACGAAAACCAATTTTGTTCGTATCTGCTATTTTTCTCCGTTGAAGTTTTATGCTGAAAAAGCTGGATTTTTCTAAAGGGACGGTTTTTGACAGATAATTCGTTTTGATCTTATGCAGGATCGCTGAGGTTCGTGACGCTTTCTTGCGACTAGTTTTAGACGACTCGTTCAAAGGTAAAGCGATGACCCTCACAAAGGCGGGAGGCTTAGGTATGGCTTAAAGGCAATGGAGAGAACGAGGCTGTAAAACATATCAATAAGTTTTTCAGAATGCTATTTTGATGAAAAGATGGATTTAGTTTCGATCAGGAAAATTGGAGTTTAAAAATTGAAAATAGGTGGAGGTTGTTTTTTTTATTTCTAGATATGACTATCTCAGTGCCGTGAACTCTAGTTCTTACTAGATTTAATATGTTTGCGCTTTGGTGTACGCGGTATGTGCTTGGCGTTCACTATACTTTCCATAATATTATTAAAAAGTTAAACAAATTGACTGGAGCGGGGTTTGAACCTGCGACCTACTGTTTGGTGCTCTACCAACTGAGCTGTCCCCCATGTTGGGTTTTCTTAATATAATGAAGGCAATAAAAGGTGTTTTTTAAATAATTCTCAAAATGGTACACGTATTTAATACGGCAGTTTTGCTCACGAATGTTTATTTTGCAGAAAGGGTAAACTTATCAACGTTATCATGTAATATTAAAATTTAGTAAACTAAAAGAATTACTCGTAGCATGTATGCACATTGACGATAACCTAATCTGGTAGTCCCATAACACTTCAGGAAAATGCATGGCCTACTGAACATTGATACGACCGTCATTGTCTGAAATGCACATATACGTGTTATCATTGATGAGCATTAAAACTTTGTTTAAATTGTGAGTTAACGTATTGTTTTAGCATGATTACTAACGATATCAATTTTAAATTTTCTCAAAATATAAACTAGCAGGCGTGGATCTAACTTTCATGCAATGGGGGGGGGGGGTAATATAAAAGGGGGTGGTTGAGTGGAGGGCACGCCATGTTTTCTCCTGCATTTTAAGGCAATAGGCCTTTCTTTTGTTTGTAAACATTGGCGCCATTTTGTATGGGCTGCCGTAAGCGCAAAAATTTAAGCCGTGGTTGGTACCATATGTTTCCAAAAAAGTCCTCATAACGCCATCAACACATAGTAAAAAGGCATGTCCAGGAATTATTTTGTAGCTTTGTTGAAAATGTTGTATTTTCAAGTATCAAATAATATTTTATTGATCTGTAATTATTATAACTCTTCTTCATTTTCGAAGTGATGGACCTTCCATAGTTTTGCAGGCCGTGACTGGCAAAAATGCAGTTTGCCAACCACGCGCAGAAAGGTCTATTGTTTACGTCATGTTTAAGCTAAATCATGCATGCTCAATATAACACAAACAATGGGGAAAAAAGGACCTGTGTTTGCTGCCACCAACGTCTCAAAAGTCTTCAATCGGAGAATAAATTTAGGAACTTTAGCCTTTTCATTTTTTTTTTTGAATATTTAAATTCTGTTTATAGTTCACTGACATTGTAAAATCTAACTATAAATCCGGGAATCTCTGTGTATATGTGTGTGTCTGTCTGCATGTCTGTCTGTTATGCCGGAAAGGATTGTTCCTTTCATAATAAGATAAATTTCTGTTAATGTAATAACTTTCATCTGTTTTAAGGAATTTAGTAAACTTGCATTCCCAATTTTTTTTTTTACTTTTTGCCTGTGATGTTTAATTTTGGATGAAGAAAGGGGTCCATTGCGATGACCCGTAGCCGTTTGCATAACCACAGCTTCGCAAATGGTTTGTATTCTTTAGTCCATTTTGTACATGTTTAAATATCTGGGAAGCTCACTAACCATTGCGCACTGCATGTACACGCTGTTTCCAAATCTCTCAATTCAAATAATTTTGAGTGGTTATACAGGTACAACCACTCCCACCAAACCACCCCCGAAAAAAAATCTGAACAGAATATAACACTTTTTTAAGTCACAAACGAATTTTTATAATTCAAAACTGTATACATTAATAAAATAGGCAAAGATTGTGTTGAAATTAGGAGTTGTTAATACTTTTTTAAAGATATTTAGAACATTTTTTGAACATGAAGATCAGTGCTTTAGTCTCGTGGTGCAGCGATCAATGTGTAAGCAACCGGCGCATGCGTAATGCCTCCATCGTTGGCATCCAAGGACGCAACGACGCCCTCTGGCGGCTTGAAAGTGAACTGATGCAGGAGTGACGTGAACACGATGAAGAGTTCCATCTTGGCCAAGTGTTTGCCCAGGCAGACCCGGCGACCTGTGACGACATGAAGATACAGATTTATAACAGATAAACCAACATAATACAAAGTCAAGCAAGAATCTTAAATGGACCGTTAGGAACATTGCCGTCAGCCAATCCTATAGTTTGCACTCGTGACCGAGCTGCCGTGGTCACCTGACTAAAAGTTGTGATCTGATTGGTCAATGCGCACTTTTTGATTGACTGGCAGGAATTGAAATCAGGAGCTAATTTCACGAAGTTGCTGAGCACATGAACAATTCGTTAAGCATATTTGGTAACCACCCAAACTCTCATCTGGTGTTATTGCTTGCAAGTGGTTACCAGCCTACTTCGGCTTAGCAATAGGCTTATTTTACTACTAAGCTTCAGTTATTTGGCCCAAGCAAAGGTATTAAAGGAAACGATTCTGTACCCACTTTATCAGAAAACTTTCATAAACCACACACACATGAGTTGGTAACCAGTCCAATGCCTACATTACATGGCATATAATTGGTAACCTGCTACTACTGAGCTAAACAACATTATGTGATTATCAGAGGCGTGGCACGGTCATTTCTATTAGCGGGGGGGGGGGGGGGGAACGTTCGTGAAAAGGGCACTTGCACATTCACCGTGAAATGCAGACGGCTTTTTTTCTAAAGACACCTGGCCTCCGTTGAATATAAAAGAGGGGCGGGTTGGTATAATGTGGGGGCGCTGTTCAAACCTGACGATCAGGCACACTATTGGTAAATAGATGGCGCTTTTCAGGGCTCCATAATAGCCGACGCGACTGTCGCGCGAAATTCCAAAAGGGCACCTGAAAAAAGTCCGCTTGTAAAAACAACGCTGCTTGTTTTTACACAACTGTCAATTATATATGTTGTTATTGGTTTTTACCTAATCCAAAGGGAATGAATTTTTCCCGGCGGAGCAACCTGCCCTCGCTGTCGAGGAATCGCTCCGGCCGAAACTGCATCGGATCTTCCCATTCGTCCGCGTCATGCAGAATGTGCCACAGGTTGATTAGGATGATGGCGCCCTCTGGAATATGGTAACTGTCAAGCAAATAATTGATTGGGTTTATTTAATGCACATTTGCTGGTGCCGGCTCAGGGGGTCAAGCTAGTACCTTGTCACAAAGTGTTGCTTGTAACTTAGACTGGTCGTACCTGGTGATGACGAGACAAACGCAGTGTTGTCTCATTGGATATTCCCGTAACGTCAATGATTAGACTACTTTCGTCCAATAATGTGGACCAGATATTTACGTGTACAGCCAACCAGCCAGCCAGCCAGCCAGCCAGCCAGCAGCCAGCCTGCCAGCCAGCCTGCTGGGGAGCCAGCCAGCCAGCCAGCTGCAGCCAGCCTCTCCGCAAGCCAGGGAGCCTGCTTGGGAGCCAGCTAGCCAGCCTGCCTTCCAGCCAACCAACAGACGAGCCAGCCAGCCAGCCAGCAAGCCATGCAGCCGACCTGCCAGCCAACCAGCCAGCCAGCCAGGCATGCGGCCAACTTGCCAGCCAGCCATGCATCCAGCCAACCAGCCAACCAGCCAACCAGCCAGCCAGCCAGCAAGCCATGCAGCGACCCTGCCAATCAGGCATGCGGCCAACTTGCCAGCCAGCCATGCATCCAGCCGGGGAGCCAGCCAGCCAGCCAGCCAGCCAGCCGGGGAGCCAGCCAGCCAGCAAGCAAGCCAACCAACCAACCAACCAACCAACCAGGAAGCCAGCCAGCCAGCCATTCAGTCAGTCAGTCAGTGAGCCAGCCAGAAAAGGGACAGAGAAGACATTTTATATGGTCCTCTGCTGTGAAAGTGAGTATCGTTTCAGTTCCATGGTGGCACCATGCATGCACAGAAATAACAGTTATATAAAGTTGAGGTTTTATTAGCAAAGTCTGTATGATGTATCTGAAATAACAGAAGCTTACCCGGACAGAGTCGTATCCTCAGTGCATTTATGAGGTAGTGCGTAGGGTACGATGAGTTCTCGCTGAACCTCGCAGAGTACCGCCTGAGTGTACGGTAGACTGGGTCTATCCGTGTATCTAGGTAGCCTGTTGCGACCCACAACTCTGTCCATTTCTTGTTGGACACGGGTCTGTGTTTCAGGGTAGGCGATCATGTACAGTAGAGCCCAGCGCAAGGTGCTGGTCGTAGTCTCCATTCCAGCGCCAAACAACTCAGATACCGAGTAGAAGAGGTTGTTCGGTGTCAAGTAGGTCTGCTCCCCCGTGTGTTCTTTCTCCGCCATGGCGTTGCGAAAGGCGTCGGTGAAATCACGCGAGATCCCGCGCTGGTAGCCTTCCTCGTGGTCTCGCAGCAGATCCCCCATCATCCTCTGGAAAGCCAGGTTGTTATCGATGTGCCTCTTCACGACTGGAAGGAAGGTTAGCTTGGAAATGATTGGAAGGAATTCTACCACCCCTGCAACACCACCGTTCTCGAGTGACTTATTTATAGCATCAATAAGCCTCCTAAACCGCTCGTCGGTGTATTCAAATCTGTTACCAAACACCAGGTAGCAAATGACATTGGCAACAGCATTCTCGATCACATTCCGTGGATCAAAACTCTCGTCCCCTTGTTTTCGCACCTCCTCTAGAAGATACGTTGCCTCCGTAGCAATCTGCTGTTCGAAGGTGGATTTCCCCATTCCTAATTTCCGAAGCACTGTTGATGAAAATTTCCTGAGTTCCAACCAGGGTTCACCGGAGGCACTCAAGACACCTAAAGCATACAAAACACGGAACTTTTTTTCATCTAAATTCTGCGGTATGTTGTATTTCGTTACATCTGCTTGGAATTAGACGATCAACTTCGACACAGTTTTACCAAAAAAAGATGAAAACACTCGACTTGCCATTGTTTTGTTTAGTACACATTTATAAATGAACTAAGCCAGCCCTGTACTCTTTGCAAGCAGCAGTATATGCCTACACGCCACCGCTAGCTATTAAGAAGGACGTTGAAATTAAAGAAATCAGATTTATGTTTGTACGTTTCACTTTAGTGAAGTAGTGCAACAAACGCTGACGTCCCAACAATGCTTTGTGGACTTTCCACAACGCTTTGAGAATTAGTCTGCCTCTGTTTATATTGGCCAATGAAAGGAGGGCGCGAAGGTCCTATTCATGAATATTGATGGGCTGCAAACCAAAGTGCGATACATGGAAGCCTTCTTACCTTTTCCGGGCATCGTCAGCTGACTGATTTCAAATGAAGGTCGCCCGCTGAGGGCGTTTTGATCCAGAGCTGTCTTGATAACGTCATAGTCCTGCAAAACTACAACTAGCTGGTTGAAGATGTTGAAGCTAAACACAGGGCCGAACCTAGGGACATAATTAATAGTATGCTGTTGAGATCATCGAGTGTTTGTGTGGTACACTCAACAGCACGTTTTGCTTGTTATCTGAACTTCTCATGAAAGTATGAAAGTTACAGTTGTTAGAAAACAGCTAAACGGCAGCACATTGCTTTTGCAAACTTCACTCGACCAAAACTGTATCTACATGTACTTTTACATGTACGGGTATTCCTGGTTAAATTCTGTCTGAAAGCACGTAACTGAGAAGTTCTTAATATTTCCGTACAAACGTCCGACAATACTTATTGTAAAACTTGGTGGTCGAATGGTAAGCTGTCCACACTAGTAGACAGCAGGTCGTGGGTTTGAGTCTTGGCCAGTTTCTTTTCGAAATACATGTTATACATCGATTTTGTCACTCATAAGCAAACCAACTCATAAACAAACCTCCCAGTGACGAATACGTTCCTTTCGTATTGTTAATTTAGGGGCCATTCAGAATTTTCAATGTTTTAAAATTTCGACTTTTTTTCCAAATTATTTTGACCCACCCACCCACCCCTAATTTCGATTCATACAAAACTGATTTGTTACGCAGTATTCATAAATACCTAAGACAGTTTACGCATTCCTATTGGTCGAGAGCCCGTCACGTGGCCGGTCTTAAATGGATGATAAAGACATGGCTAGCTGGTCTTAAACACTTTTCCAGTGTCACAATAAAATGTGGACTCCAAAAAATCCAGTGCCTCTTATCGTTTCATTGGTTGAACGTTCACAATCCCCACGTAGGCATGCGCAACACTACCACGGAGTCAGAATTTTATAGTTCTAAATTCAAAACGCAACGCGCCAGGTGCGTTCTGCGCGACATCGCGCAGAACATGATACGCGCGCGTCAATCTCCATAAAAGGGTTGTTTACATCTTACTCGCCAGCTGAATACTCCATTATTTTGCAAGAGGGATGTTTCAAAAAGCATAAAGTGAATTTGTTGAACAAAATCGGAATGTTTTAAACGAATTATATGATTTTTTCTTACCGAAATGGTATTTATGAATGGGAATAAATATGTGCTCCGTCGGTATTTATTACTCTGTTTAAGACCACTTAGAGTCTGGGTGCTGATAATTACCCTCGCCTCCGGCTCGGGTAATTATCAGCACCCAGACTCTAAGTGGTCTTAAACAGAGTGATAAAGACCTCCGAAGCACACATTTATTCCCTTATTAAAAAACAAAACATGCACTTGCATGTACATCATTACATCCCACTATCGGCCTGTGCGGGTTGCGTGTCCTTTCGAGAAAAAAAATCCATTGCTGCTTGGCGGAGGCAAAAGCTGTCTCTTTGCAACTTTTCGACAACAGACATGACGCACAAACAAACCGTTCGTACGATGAACATGGGTTCTTCATTATCAGCTTTTGCTGTTTCCAGAAACTGCAAAGATCGGTAGGTATCTCTCATGTTGTGACGGTACATGTTGATATTGTGGCATCCATGATGGCAGCCATGTTGTTTACAGTCGAGACGTGTAAATTGATTGTTCGTGATGTGTTTGTGATCTATCGCAATTACCCGACTATAATGATTGCAATGATTATCCATTGTGATCGATAGAGGGCGATGTAACCGTGCCGTTTTGGCTTTCAGCATTTTAAAACAATATCGTTTATTGAATCAGTTTAGTATCTTTGCTTCAATCTAAAATGATTCTGTGAATTGTATGAACATGTAAAATTATTCTAAATTCGCGTTTATATTCTTACAATGGCGTCGAAAAAGCGCCCTCTTTTGCTCAAAATGTAGCCAATTTACCTTTGACCCATCTTAGTTAAGGTCTTATAGGCTGGTCCCTCGATCATCGCCAACTGGGGTAAAGCACCGAGCAGCGGCCAGCTCCATGGGCCGGGAGGAAGCTTCTTCGGCCGGCGGAGAAACCAGACGAGCACGGTGAAGATCAGGAGTCCTAGGATACCAGTCTGGATGTTCACTGGTATCCACACGTCATTCCAGTCCATGATTACAGCGTTGGCTTTACCAAATTTAGACCAAAATCACATTAGACCTTTATAATCTAAATGGGGGTGGGGTGGGGGTGGCATTGAATGTGTTTTACATGGGTTTAAAGTAACAGATGCAATTGGAAACCCGAAAGCAATTTACGCACCTCCTCAAAATGTGAAGCCATTGAGCTCAAACTTCGACAGTTAAGTTGTAACGCATACTGCTAATATTGTTTTGAGAAATACTGTTTCTTCAAACGGAAAGAAATGTACAAGGAGTAAATGGTGCAATTATCTTTAACGACACTTCCAAACATCAAAAAACAAAACAACCAACTTTACTTGACTGTACGTGAATAATAGTCTTAAGTATCCTGTGAAATCATGGCACCTGGTGTGCTGTCATATTCAAGAAAAGTAAAATTTGTGTATCGATTTTCCATGATGGTCAACCGACCATCATAGGAAAAAAGCTGATTTTTTTTCCCTCGTGTACTGCCCCCCCCCCCCCCCAATTTGCCAAACTTAGTTGGTCTAAATGTTGTTTGCAATTGGTTACACATCCGTGAACGTGTGCAATTAGCCAGCTAGTCTGGTTCACTGACCTCGACATGTGCCCGATGTTTATAAATTGATCCGTTTCGATTAAAGTAGGTTTAGGGAACCAGAATACAAGCACGGCATTGTTTTCTTTCTCACTTTTCCCCCCAAATACAAAACCTTAACCACGTCAGTGTAAACATTACTGCAAATGCAAATGCTGATTACTTTTGAAATATGTGAAGCTATTCTTGTTACTGAGAAGTACAATTACATTTACCTTTGGCGATGGGCTAGCATCAAAAGCTGGGAGTTTTGCACGGCTGTCGTCTGCTATAATGGAGTATGACACCTCACTGTGCTCTGCTCAATAAAGGCTATAATCAACCTTATACTACATATGTAGCGCTATGCGTACTTTGCACAGGGGCATATTCCAAAAATATAGCCCTCTGCCCTGCAAGTATTGTGACTGTATTTTGGGTACAAAGTCTATATATCTAGAATCTGTATGGGTCAAGAAACTATTTCGTCCTATTATTTGGAGGATTTTGTCAGACCAGGCAATTTACAGGAAACTTAGTGAAATTAACCCAATGACGCAAACGGCAGGACAGGCCCATGCACGATGTAACGCTTAGCCAACGGTTAATATAATTTTAGCAAAATGTAGTATTTTCTGTTTCAAAAAATATAGTGTCATTTTTATAGACCGATTACGACGATATTTAACTTAATTCAGGTGGTATATTTGGGATTGGTGCCAAACAACGAGTGTGTCATTTTTTCCATACCTTTTGACTTTCATTCAAATTGTATTTTGTTCGTATATAAGAACTAATTTTGTTTTCCGTCATGTCATTTTTATTTTTGACAGTGTATCATGATATGAAACCTCTTAATGTTATACATCATGAACAACTAATAGACAAAAATTCAGTTCTAATCATTACATTTGGTATTTCTTGAGTTGTTTTGCAACCAACGAATGCTGACATTATCCTGATTTGTGATGCGTCACATGAAAGGTGTTTTTTTAAAGACAAACACAAATTTACATTTGATTCGGGCCACCTGACCGCCCCTATTTTCTGAGCCAATGTAAATTTTGTTAGTTGAGGGAACAAGTCAGATTCATCCCCATGCAACTTTATAGGCATATAATGGCCGATAAAAGCAGGTTCCTGAAGTTTCACAAAGAGAATTGTTTAACTGCTCGTTCCCAGACTGCAGAACGTGCGAAATACTGTGCGTACTTCACTGACTGAGCAACGAAACATTGATTGGGACCGATATCAGAGTTCAAAAGGAAGCATATGTCAAAGTACACGACTAGGGAGAATTTGCCAAGAAATACAGTGATTCGATTTACACATAGCGTGGGGCGCTGTATTCAGCAGTGTACTATGCACGTCTACGTATGCAGCGGACATATAAATTCTTACTACATGTGTTCCGTAGACTGAATTCCAGTCTGTGATTTATGGTGGTAGTCGTACGGTGCTTGTTGTCCATCAGTGTTCAATTTCGGTACTTGTACTGTATGGAAGTGACGACTCCTTGTCAAGTCTATCGGCACACATTATTGTTTAAGAACACTTCCTCATAAATTCAAATTTATGCACGCATGCGTATCAATTTGCCCACAGGGAAACAGCGAAGCGGTCCATTGAAAATGCAAACTTGGGTCCAAACAGTTTTGCAATTTGCTTTCAATTTCTCCAGGATTTGTGCCATCTGTCTTCGGAAAAAAACATATCGTCTTGAGTATCACTTTTTGGTCTAAGTGGTTTTATTGTACAGGATAAAATTGATAAAATTGATATTTTTGTTCCAAGAAATGAGACAAGAACAAATTTCTTAGTGAAAAAAAAACATGTTTAGCAGTATAATAATTATGTTGACCTTTTACAAAACAACATTTGTTTGTCTTAATCAACGTTTCAGCCATTGCTTAATAATCGTGTTCATGATGGTAAAGAGTGAGGATTTGGTAGTTATTGCCAACTTATTGACTGCAGTTTGAAGTTTAGAAGTTTGCCAACTTGGTATGTGAAAACTCAAAAGGCTAGGGTATGTCCACAGATTATAATTCTTTGCACTGTATTTGATTGTTTGATTAACATGTCGGAAGTTGTAATGACACATCTTCCAATTTGTTTACCACCTGGCTATAAAACAAGTTCAGTCGTCACGTTTCATTGAATCGTGAAGGTAGATGAAGCTAGCTGAATCAAGTTTGGTTTCGTGCCGTGCGCACGAGGTCAAGGGAAATCAGCATAGGCCAATCAATGCGCATGCATGTATGAATTTGACTTCATTGTGAACTGGTGTATTGCGCATGCGTGAGCCGCTGGGCGTTGGCAAACCGTCACAAGTTTCTTGCCTGCCTGCCAAACTCAGGCCAGTGTTGCATATTGATTTATACTGGCTATAACAACGGAACGGAATAATCGGCGTAGGAACCCGGTACAGTACTCACAAACAATCTACAAGCCGGACCATGTCACAGATCTTCTCTATTTGTATCTACACTGATCCCGATTCAAGATCTAACACATCACTTCTTGGCACGTATACTGCAATCTGAGGAGAAAGTTCCTGAAATCCGCCAGGTACATGTCCGGAGATCAGCCAAAGCAAAGACAAGGCCAGAGTCAAACAGGTACGTATACTGCAGGCACTGTGTGGAGAGTAAAATTTGAACGATCTTGGATCTGTGATCAGTTCCTTTGGCCTCTGTGACATCCGTGCTCGCGGTAGAGTTGCGTTTTCAACATGAATTCTTGATCACGGCATTCAAGTCTCTTGTAATTGCATGCTTGACTCTTCATTTTGTTTATATTGAATTTTGAACCCTCGCCCCTACTGTTTCAAAATGGTGTCTTCCTCGATCTTGCCTTGCCTGGTATTTCTTTTCTCACAAGGTACTTCGTGTGGTGCTGACTGTATTGCGTCAACTATTTGTCTTCGGTATTTTAATTATCTGTGCATAAAGAAAAGTACACAGTTGTACGAAGAATCAAATTCCCTAAGTACATGCACACGTCTTTTGTACAAGTAAGTGTAATGTTCAGGGGCGCACCCATACTGGGAATTGGATTGCTCAAAAACCATCAAAACAAAATCAGGCCAACTTTACTCACTCTAGCTAGTGTAGCCAGCAAAATTCTCAAAAATTGTCATTATGCATAAAAAAAAGGTCTACGGCATGTCACCAACCAAGTTTAAAAACTCAGCTCAATTTTCTAAGCATACTTTTCTTCAATATTTTGCACATGAGAGGGAAGTCAAGTGATTTCAAAACGAGACTACAGAATAGACTTGTACATGTCCAACCATGGTCCAACTGTTTAAAAAGACTGAAATCTTCCATCATTCTCATTAGTCTGGTGGCTGGCTGTGGAGAAATGTGTAGAAATAGAGACTAGTACCTGACATCCTATTATTTGTTTGGCACAGTTCTCGTGTTCTCGTGCTTAAATAAGTTCAAAGAAATTATTTAATCCACACCCTTAACAGTATCATTTATTTAAGGTTTCAGGATGGCCGCGCAACCGAAGTCCAGATTCCATACCCTGTACGTGTGTTGTATAGGTGCAGACTATAGGCACCAATGAGAAATGCGCAACCTCAAAATAGATCAAGAAAATGCTCATTGCTCCAACTGCTGATCGAGACACTTACATGTTAATCGAATGAAAGCTTGATTACCCTCTTTTACTTACTTTTCAATTCGGGGTTAAACAATGACTTAATATGGGCTGACTTTTCACTACAAAAATGTCGCCTCGCGGATAAGCAGTCCTGAAGCCCATATCGCCATTTTGAAAAAAAAATATCCCGACAAATTAGAGCTTCTTTGTGTCCAAATACATCCCAAATTTTCCAGAAATACAAGTTCCAACACCATTTCAGAGCTAGGGCCCTTCATTTCCACCAACCCTCAAATCGTGATTTGGCCGGCACTGGCCATTCTGGGCCTATTTAATCACTAGTGTACACCACCCGTAGGCCTAATGTAGTTAATAATACGGCCAAGCTTTCAAAATGGCGGCTTCACGGCAAATCCTGACTGTACCATTACCTTAACCGTATAGAAGTTGTTGTTTGACACGTTTCAATGATTTTTCTATACAGGCTCTTAACATGAGAAAAGAGTCATTGTTGCCGCACTAGGCCTTGACTCAATAGTATGGCAATGCCTTCGGGCTTGAGCTTTAGAAATTATATTCCCTCGACGAACAATATTTTTGTGTAAATCTGTCCGTGTGGCCATTTTATGTACAAACCTTGCCATTGAAACCGAACTGCTAAATCTCTAGTGTGAACTTCTGAAACGAAATGAAAGTCACAGACCGTGCATATTTGTTAAAGTGTGTGAAGAAACGAAAGTACTAATGCACACTGGTTGCAATACACTGCCAAAGATGGTTTTCTTTAAAATAAGCTTTTTTTTCCGGGGGGGGGGGGGATATTAAAGAAACTTGAACCTGTCTTGCCCCTCAGTATTTTTCCAAGGAAAGACACAATAAAATATTTCTTAGAAAAAAAAAACACACTTTGAGCAGTGTGATATGTGGCCCTTTTACGAAACAAGACCTGTTTGTCTTAATTAACATTTCAATCAATTTGCTTAATATTCGTCTTCACGATGGTGAAGACTGAGTATTTCGTGGTCATGATAATGACTGTTGTTTGAAGTTTAGAAGTTTGCCATCTTAATGAGATAACTCAAAAAGCTAAGGTATGTCAACAGATTATAAATCGTTGTACATGTACCGCATTTCATCGTTTGATTAATATGTCAGAAATTTCTGTAATATACATCTTCCCATTTTGTTTACCACCTTGCTATAAAACAGTTCAGTCGTCACGTTTCATTGAATCGTGAAGGTAGAAGAAGCTATCTAGCTGAAACAAGTTTGGTTTCGTGCCGTGCGCTCGAGGTTAAGGGAAATCAGCATGGGCCATCAATGCGCATGCGTGTATGAATTTGACTTCATTGTGAACTGGTCTACTGCGCATGCCTGGGCCGCTGGGCGTTGGCACACCGTCATATGTTTCTTTATCGGCGTAGGAACCCGGTGCAGTACACACAAACAATCTGCATGCCGGGCCATGTCACTGGTGTTTTCTTTGTGTATCAAATCGTGATTTGGCCGGCATATGCCATTTTGGGCCTATTTAATTACTGGTGTACACCACCCGTAGGCCTAATATAGTTTAGAATATGGCCCAGCTTTCAAAATGGCGGCTTCACGGCAAATCCTGACTGTACCATTGCCTTACCGTATGGAAGTTGTCGTTTGACACGTATCAATGATTTCCTATACAGGCTCTTAACATAAGAAAAGAGTCATTGTTGCCGCACTAGGCCTTGACTCAATAGTATGGCAATGCCTTCGGGCTTGAGCTTTAGAAATTATATTCCCTCGACGAACAATATTTTTGTGTAAATCTGTCCGTGTGGCCATTTTATGCACAAACCTTGCCATTCAAACCGAACTGCTAAATCTCTAGTGTGCACTTCTGAAACGCAATGAAAGTCACAGACCGTACATATTTGTTAAAGTGTGTAGAGAAACGAAAGTACTAATGCATACTGGTTGCAATACACTGCCAAAGATGGTTTTCTTTAAAATAAGCTTTTTTTTCCGGGGGGGGGGGGAATATTAAAGAAACTTGAACCTGTCTTGCCCCTCAGTATTTTTCCAAGGAAAGACACAATAAAATATTTCTTAGAAAGACAAAAAAACACACTTTGAGCAGTGTGATATGTGGCCCTTTTACGAAACAAGAACTGTTTGTCTTAATCAACATTTCAATCAATTTGCTTAATATTTGTCTCCACGATGGTAAAGACTGAGTATGTGGTGGTCATGATAATGACTGTTGTTTGAAGTTTAGAAGTTTGCCAACTTAATGAGATAAGTCAAAAAGCTAAGGTATGTCAACGGATTATAAATCTTTGTACATGTACTGAATTTCATCGTTTGATTAATATGTCAGAAGTTTCTGTAATATACAGTGTAACCGGGAGAGTGGGATATATTAGTTTTAAGATGTGGCACTCTCCTTACAACCGAGTGGTTCCACTAAAAAAATAATTTGGGTGGAGCGAAGTTTTCTGTTAGAAGAATTATTCAAATGGCAATTATGCAAGAATATGACTATTTTATATACATGTAGTGCAATTTTAAATCCGAAATTAGAAATGAATTATACACCAAATAATGTTATAAAATTATGAAGTAAGAATATTTACCATGCCCTAATAACAAATTTCTGAATGATCATAACACTTTAAAGAAAACCGATAGTTTGGGGGAAATGGGAAAGTCTATTTCAAATAATAATTGTGAAAATGAATATTATAGCAACGCTAAGATTTCAATTAAAGTTTGCGTGCTCGTGTTGCGCAAATGTCACAAATTTGTTTCAAAAGGAAAAATGGAGATTCACAAAAATAAAGTACCTGATAACATTGTTTTCCGGAATTGCCGAATTTTTTTTTTAAATAGTAGGACATAATGTGTTTAAATAAATCGACGGTGTTTACACGAAATCTTCAAAGCCAACTGAAAATCCTTTTTGCCATGCCACTCATGCACAAATTTAATAGAAAATCATATGGAAAAAGCTGATTCAAAAAATACTTGCAAATCACGACAAACAGATTTATTTCAAAAGTTATTAATCAGTCGTGATCACAAGGCAAATTTCCGGCCGTTTCTGTTTTGTTGGCCATAATTTCTGGCAATAAATGAAACATACAACTGACCAGAATGTTGCATAAAAATGATGGCATAAAAAGATTCCGGCATAAAAAGATTCCGGCATAAAAAGATTCCGGCATAAAAAAAAGTTAAATATCAGACAAGGGATTTACTCACCACTTGGGATGATCTACGTTCATGCCTTCCTCTCCGTGCTCGATGTCAAAATCAAAGATCGGCAGAAAATAGTGCAGAAAACTGCAGTTCCGGCAACGCCGAATATAAAATTATTTTGCTGCTATGACGGGGAGCCGCACCAAAAATGTGTAGTTAGTCGAGAGTGTAAGTGCTGAAAATTGTGCCCTGGCTGCAACGAGGTGTTGGATCGAAATCAAAGTTATTTCGCAGCTAGCCCTACAAGAAAACTACACCGAAACGTCCGGAATGTCAGCTATCTAATTTAAACAAAGCGCGTGGAATGTTAAACTCGCCTGCCTGCTACGCCCCTTGCATAGTTTAAAAAGTAGCGGGCAAAATTCTAGGTGGCGCACGCTGTGCTAAAAAAAAACCGTGTGGTTGGCCGCGAGAGGGCGCTAGGCAAAAAGCATGATCACAATGGCTGCTTACATGTGAAATGACACAACCACGGAGTTACAAAAGTTATGAAATCAATGCTGGAGTAAGGAACCTGTCGGGTAAAAGAACTGAAACCCGACCTGGTTACAACATCTTCCAATTTTGTTTACCACCTTGGTATAAAAAGTTCAGTCGTCACGTTTCATTGAATCGTGAAGGAAGATGAAGCTATCTAGCGGAAACAAGTTTGACTTCGTGCCGTGCGCTCGAGGGAAATCAGCATGGGCCAATCAATGCGCATGCGTGTATGATTTTGACTATATTGTGAACTGTTTTTTTGTGTGCATGCGTGGGCCGCTGGGCATTGGTG